AACCCTCCCAGCCCCAATTCCCCGACCCTCCCTATCCATCCACACCTTGTAGCGATGTATGACGTACGTTCCTCGACTTGAAAAGCTCCAAGCCACTCTCTGGAGGGTAGAGGGTGCAGTCGGAGGCCAAGGACAACGTTAGGCTAAGCTTCAAATATGCATGTTCTAATGCACCGTTTTTAGCACTCATCTGGGGCGTTGCTTCGCTGCAATAGCCCATTCTTTCCCCCCGTGTGTACTCCCTAAAACCCTAAAACCCTAAAACCCTAAAGAGAGGCGGGCTGCTTGAAGGGAGCAGGGTGAACACCGTCAAGGGTGTGGGCACACAATAGTTGATTGCTTGGCCCCCGCCACCCCCAGTAATATGTTTAGTTGGCTCTACCTTCAAGCATGATTGGAATTCACCAGATCCTAGATCCCACTGGACAGAACCGCACTGCCACAAGCTGGTTTCAGACTGTCCATGTTATCGCCACACTGAGAAGAGCTAAAAAACATCGTTACATATTCATTTTATAGTTTTCGCAGCTTTCCGCAGTTTCTGCAGCCTTTCTGCAAAGAGCCTCCCAATTACGAAAAGTTGGACACCACCGGCCGACTTGCCGCCTGTGGCTAAGACTTGCTAAACTTAACAACCGTATGAAACGTTTCTCGCAATGGATGCATTTTCGTTGCTAAGCGATGAACCTTCAACAGATGCTGACAGACCTTTTCAGCAAGCGCAAAGCCCTGAAAGACCAGTTACAGCGCGAGCTCCAGAAGTACCAAGCTAAAAAAGTCGAACTTGGACAAGACTTAGACGAATATGACCAGGCGGCCACAGAAATAATAGCAGTTCTGACGATTGCGGTGCAGCAGCTTCAGGGGAAGAGCGAATCTCAAGAGCTCCATGAATGCCTAGAAAAAATGGAGTTTCTGCGCAGCAGCCATAGTAAATCGCATCAGAGCCTGGAACAGCTCTGCAGCATGGTCGGCAACCTCATCTCCCTTGTGGTCGAGCTGGATGTGCTGCACCATGAGCTGCGGAAGCAAATCATGCTGTCGGGAACATGGGACCATGTCACCGAGATTAGGCTTTTCGCCTATTATGACATGGTCGACCGCAACCCTGCATTGAAGCAAAAGTACTCGTCGCTCTCCACCTTCCTCGACACCCTGCATCAGGAGTGCACTGATTTTGTCAACGGGCGCATTCGGACACAGCCATTGAACTCAGCGTTTGGGGAGGCAGTTCAGCACCTCGGGCTCAGCAACACGGAGTGGCAGCTGCTTAAGACACTCAACAAGGACAGCATGGCATTGTTCCACAAGAAGTTTATGATCGAGGAGCTAGAGACCGAGGTCTTCCCAGCGGACCTCGAGCCATGCCGGGGAGCCCTCATGAGGGCAGCTCGCATGGTTAACGAGCGATGCAATGCCATGGCTGCTGGGCCCCAGGCACCCTCGGATGACGATAACTGGGCCTAGGTAAGGCTTTTTGTGACCCTAGCTTTACACCTTCACACCGCCACCCACCTACTCCTTGCATATGTTGGGCTGCTGGTCCCCCACCTTCCTCAGCACCACCTCATAACACACCCCACCCCCATCCATCCTCTGTCCCTTGCGCCTCTCCATGCCCTTCATGTCTCCATCTCTTTGCCTGCGGCCTATTGCCTACACTATGCCCCCTTGCCCCACCTATATCCATCTTTCTGCTCTTGTCCAATTATATACCTTGCCCCCTTGCCTATGCCCCTTGCCCTGTGACACCCCCATTGGCAAAGACTGCAGAGGAGGATCCAATATAGGAATGGTGCAGAATCAGGCAGCAGCCAGGACCAGCAGCCACTTGGTGTCTGACAATGATGACCAGAAGTCTTTGATGCTATGGCTTGCGCTTGCAGGCTACAGGGTGTCTTGCAGTGGGCAGGCTCATGCTAATGCAGTCCTGCATGTAGTCAACAGGCCCCACATGGGTGTGGATGGAGTTCCTCCTCCCCCAGAATAGGCAGCATGTGTGATATTTCGACGGGATGGACAACACTTCAGAAGGGTTTATGGTGCTGAGAAGCAGATTGGCTTGGCTGTTTTTTTACATACAAGTATGAGAAGCTGATTGGCTTGGCTGCTTTTTTAAGTACAAGTCTGAGAAGCAGATGGGATTGGCTGTTTTTTTACATACAAGTCAGAGTATTCATGAGAGCTCATGGTGTGGTGTGGTAGGGTGATGTGATGAGTGGTGTGGATCTCGACTCAAACTGGCAACTCCTCAAATGAGTTTCCAACATCATAATCTCCTTTGCACATCTGAAAAGCTTGACCTTTCCATTGGACTCGTGAATGCACGAATGGACAATCAAACAGGGGTTCTAGCTGTAGCCCTTCAGAAAGGAGAGCAAGGAGAAAGACAGAAACACTGTGTTTCTGCCTTTCTTTCCTTGCTCTCACTTTCTTCGGGAATAATTCTTGTTAATCACCCTTGCTGCTGGCATCGTTTTTCATGGATGTTAAAACATAAGACCGTTGCAGTGAGAGCTATTAAGGTGTGAGAGAATGCTATAAGAACGCTTGAGAACGCTGTAAGAACACTTAAGAATGGTGAGAGAACGGTGTAAGAACACTTGAGAACACTGTAAGAACGCTTAAGAATGGTGAGAGATCGGTGTAAGAACGCTTGAGAACGCTTTAAGAACGCTTAAGAATGGTGAGAGAATGGTGTAAGAATGCTTGAGAGTGGTGAAAGATTGCTTAAGAATGCGTGAGAAAATGGTTTGAGAATGTCCTTGAGAACGGGTAAGATCGCTGAGAACACTTGAGATTCCCTGCAAAGAGCGCTCTCTTGAGATTGCTTAAGAACGCTTGAGAAGGCACAATCTTAAAACATGGCAGATAAGAGCGTTCTCAGAACACTCTTAACAGCAGCATCAACTTGTGCTTTATATGGCTTAAGATCGCGTTGAGAGCGCTCTTAAAGCGGTTTCATTTTGGTAGAGCATAGCATCAAAGACTTCTGGTCATCATTGTCGGACACCAAGTGGCTGCTGGTCCTGGCTGCTGCCTGATTCTGCACCATTCCTATATTGGATCCTCCTCTGCAGTCTTTGCCAATGGGGGTGTCACAGGGCAAGGGGCATAGGCAAGGGGGCAAGGTATAATTGGACAAGAGCAGAAAGATGGATATGGGTGGGGCAAGGGGGCATAGTGTAGGCAATAGGCCGCAGGCAAAGAGATGGAGACATGAAGGGCATGGAGAGGCACAAGGGACAGAGGATGGATGGGGGTGGGGTGTGTTATGACGTGGTGCTGAGGAAGGCGGGGGACCAGCAGCCCAACATGTGCAAGGAGTAGGTGGGTGGCGGTGTGAAGGTGTAAAGCTAGGGTCACAAAAAGCCATACCTGGGCCCAGTTATCATCATCCGAGGGTGCCTGGGGCCCAGCAGCCATGGCATTGCGCCGCTCGTTAACCATGTGAGCTGCCCTCATGAGGGCTCCTCGGCATGGCTCGAGGTCTGCTGGGAAGACCTCGGTCTCTAGCTCCTCCATCGTAAACTTCTTGTGGAACAATGCCAAGCTGTCCTTGTTGAGTGTCTTAAGCAGCTGCCACTCCGTGTTGCTGAGCCCGAGGCGCTGAACTGCCTCCCCAAACACCGAGTTCAATGGCCGCATCCGAATGCGCCCGTTGACAAAATCAGTGCACTCCTGATGCAGGGCATCAAGGAAGGTGGAGAGCGACGAGTACTTTTGCTTCAATGCAGGGTCGCGGTCGACCATGTCATAATAGGCGAAAAGCCTAATCTCGGTGACATGGTCCCGTGTTCCCGACAGCACGATTTGCTTCCGCAGCTCATGGTGCAGCATGTCAAACTGCTCAGCGTCCAGCTCGACCACGAGGGAGATGAGGTTGCCGACCATGCTGCAGACCTGTTCCAGGCTCTGATGCGATTTACTATGGCTGCTGCGCAGAAACTCCATTTTTTCTAGGCATTCATGGAGCTCTTGAGATTCGCTCTTCCCCTGAAGCTGCTGCACCGCAATCGTCAGAACTGCTATTATTTCTGTGGCCGCCTGGTCATATTCGTCTAAGTCTTGTCCAAGTTCGACTTTTTTAGCTTGGTACTTCTGGAGCTCGCGCTGTAACCGGTCTTTCAGGGCTTTGCGCTTGCTGAAAAGGTCCGTCAGCGTCTGTTGAAGGTTCATCGCTTAGCAACGAAAATGCGTCCGTTGCGAGAAACGTTTCATACGGTTGTTAAGTTTAGCAAGTCTTAGCCACAGGCGGCAAGTCGGCCGGGGGTGTCCGAAAGTAAGTGAGCCCTCCCTGGCCGGCGGTTGCCACGACGGCAAGACAGTTGCTGCACAAACATGCGTTATTCGCTATACTGAGTACATTTTCATCACCGCGCACTTAACTGCTTTCCTTCTGCACGCGCAGCGCGCGGGTTAGGCCGCGACATCGGCACAACACCCTCGGCGCGCGCGACAACGCACTTGATACTAGCTATCCAGTACTTACAGTCCTTTGCACTTTAAGGGTGGCGTAATACGCTATGGGATCATCACCGCGCGTATTAGTGGGGGGTTCGGCTCCTAGGCTAGTAAGAAAGGCTAGTACCTTGCTTTCCAACACTCATCCCGTACAGCAGCTATTCTAGACCTGCCCGGAGTAAATGGAATAGGGGCACACTCCCTTGTCGGCGTTCCCCGTAAAAACAGAGATAGTGGGCTCAACTGTTTTGGCCGCCGATTGGCACAAATGTGTCTTGACACAGGGCTAGCCATTGTCAATGGGCGGGCACCTGGTGATGTGCCCGGGGGCTTCACATACTCCAAACTCTACTGAGGGTCACAGTTCTATTGATCTGTGCCTTGCATCTTACGGGCTCTTCGAGCAGATTAACTCTCTCAAAGTCCTTAGATCTTACTTATGGGTAGAGTCTAATGTGCTGAGTGATCGTCACCCGCTTATCCTTCGCCTGCATGCCGTTTTGAGGCCAGGGGCTGCACGGGGTCGGAAGCCTCACCTAGCACGTGAACGGATCCCTATTTTTGATATTTCACGCAAGGGCCGCTTCACTGAGCTTTTTCGTGAACCAGATGGCATTATTTCAGAGACCATCAACTCTCTCAAGGAAAAGCTTGTGGAAGGGGCACCCTGTGACGAAATCATGAATGACTTGCGCACCCTTATCAATAAGTGTGCTAGAGAGACGTTCGGCGTTGCACGGGGGATGGAAAAGTCTGTGAAGCGTGACTGGTGGAACGAGGACTGTGCAGCTGCGTGGAATGATATGATGAGTTTCCGTAAGGAGGTCAGGGACCCCGTCTCAGGCAAGCTGCCCGATCTACATAGGACTACCTGGAAGGCCAAGCACCAGGCCTTTAAGAAGGCTAGGAAGGCCGCTATTCAGGAGATTGAAATGGAAGATATGCGGAGGAGGATTAAGGACGCCCGGTCCAACCCACGCGGCTTGTGGACATGGCTGCGTGGGGGAAAACCACCTCCTTGCGGGATCTCAGATATTAATGCTTTTACCGAGCATTTTTCCAAGGTGCTTAATGGTACGGGAGAGACAAGGCAATGCAGCAATGAGGGTATTCAGTTTAGATGGCTGGACGAGGACCAGGTGACGCACCGACGGGAATTAGCTGCTTGGCTTATCAAGGATTTTACGGAGGATGAAATTGCTAGTGGCCTTAAGGCTATGCGCAACAATAAGTCCGCGGGCCTGGAGGGAACCCCGGCCGAGTATTATAAGTACGCTATCAGGGAAACTGAAGGGCAGCAGCCCGTGCTTGTATTGGCGCCTTGCTTAACGGTGCTATTCAACCGCATATACGGAGCTGAATACCCGAGGGAATTCACGACTAGCACCCTGTCCCCCATATTCAAAAAAGGGGGCGAGTCATGCTGTGACAATTACCGGGGAATCGCAGTTGGGGGTCCCCTGTGCAAACTTTATGCCAATATCATAGGGAGGCGATTAAATAATTACTGTGAGGGCAATAGGCTACGTGCCGTTAGCCAGGCTGGATGTAGGCATTGTTTACATTAAGGCATCTTATCTCGAAGCACACTGTGGCCGGAGCCAGGCCGCTTATTATCATGCAAATTGACTTTAGTAAGGCGTTCGACTCCGTTGACCATGAGACACTTTGGGATTTCCTAATGTCGTATGGGCTACACGGGCGCATCCTCGATTCTTTAAAGGCTAGCTATGCTGACGTGAAGTTTCGGGTCAAGTTAGGAAATAAGTTGGGACCTGAATTCACGGTGGGGCGTGGTGTTAAGCAAGGGTGCCCCCTTAGCGTAACCCTTTTTGGACTCTTCATAGAAGTATTCGCTCATTATATTGATGCTCACGATGCTAATTGCCGTGTATGCCTCCCTACCCGATGGAGCACCCTTCGTGAGCAGAGTGTTAGCCTGGCGGGCGGTGAACTCACTAACCTACTTTTCGTTGACGATGTGTCACTGGTAGCGACAGGGCACGATAGAGCTGAATGCCTTCTGGGGCTACTCGAAGCCTACTGCAAAGCGACGGGTATGGCCGCGAATGCCGCCAAGTGCGAGGTCCTCATTTCTGGGGGTGCTGCACGTGAGCGGAAGCGGCTTATTGAAGCTGAGTACCGGTTAGGTGGGGCGGGGTTGCGGGTGCTGACCGGCAACGAGACGGCACGGTATCTCGGGTTGCACTATGGCCCAGGAGTGCAGTTCTCAGCATGTACCAAGCAACTACTCACAGCAGGGAGGCGGGCCACGTTTGGGCTCAGCACCCTGTGTCGTGACAAGAAGATTACCACCCCCAAGCTATGTATGTCTCTCTACAATACACTAGTTGTACCGGTGTTTTCTTATGGAGCGCAAGTTTGGGGACCTGACTTCATTAATGTGAATTTTGAAGGTGCTATGGCTAATCCCATGGTCCAGGAACAGCGTGCTTACATGCGAACCGTAGTTGGGGCGAGGAGCCCGACTATGGTTTCCCTATATCGCGAGCTGTCACAGAGGCCACTCCAGTTCCATTGGACCAATCTTGTACTTAGGTTTTGGAACTCTGTGGTTAAGAGGCCGGGAACGCTGTGTCACCGGGCATTTGTCGCTGACCTGGAATTGGCACTTGGGGGCGTCACTGAGGTGTTGGGCTAGCAAGGTACTAGCCTTTCTTACTAGCTTAGGAGTGGAACCCCCCACTAATACGCGCGGTAATGATCTTATAGCGTTCTACACCACCCTTAAATTGCCAGTTGAGAGCATTCTTAAGGTATTTGCCAAGCGGCTTGATGCACGGTGGGAGTGCCCGAATACCTTGGGTGACCCCCATGTCTTCCCCATAGGAATTACCGGAGTCAAGGCGTGTCGCTATATGAACTGGATGGGAGCTGCCCCGTCTAGGGGTGCGCGTCTCGATTGGTTGGAGCACACTAAAGGGACCATGCCCCAGCGACTTCATCATGAGCTCATGCGCTTTCGGTTAGGCTGTTGGGAGTTAGAGGTTGATAGGCCTAATGGGCGTGAGCGCACCGCGCGTACCTGCAGGCTTTGTGACTGTGGAGCGGTTGAAGATGAGTTGCATGTTTTCGAAGAATGTCCCGCTTACAAGAGCATACGGGCTCAGTATGATGGTGACCTAGTCCTTACGGGGCGCAGCATGCGCACCACTATGACTGAAGCGCCACCCCTGGCATTGGCCAGGTACCTCTCGGAAATTTGGGAGGCCAGGCACGTCGCGCTGAGGCGCTTCACCCTGAAGCGGACGAGGGAGAATGAAGATGACCTCCCGTGTACCCGCATCAATACCAATACAACATCCATGGCCCCCCCATCCTGGCTTTTACGGACACACCCGCACTTGTGTTCGGAACTCGTAACTTGTATAAGCCACGGAGACAAGGAAACAACGCACTATCAGCCCAGACTAGCGCCCAAAGGGAATAACTGAGTCGCGGTGACCCCAGACGTGCTGGCTCCCATTTCATGGCCTCCAACATGCTCTGTTGATTATTGAATCCCTATTCCACACGAACATCAATATAGGCTAGGCATTCCAATAACACGTGTTTTTCATCCTCGACTTGGCTATTGGTATCACAACAGTGGCAAAACCGTTGCTCCCTGGGGACATGGTACTTGCCCCTTCGTGCTCTGTTTGCCTCCAAAGCCCAGTAACACAAACAAAACTGCATTTGCTTACCATGCCACGTGTCAGACACCACTACCCCCTTACATCATGTATGGTAATCGTCATGATCATCACGTGCTTTACATCATGACACATTGCTGCCCCAGAGCGGATCTCGTGGGCTGCTGCTGCTGCACCTCCTCTTCCGCATCCACTCTCAACCGCTTGCCCGGGCGAACAGGCGGCTCAGCAGATGGACCGGCGGCGACTGCAGCAACTGTGGCGGTAGTGGCTGTGCCAGCCGGAGGTGGAGCACTTCGTCCGCCTGCACCCGCGGCAGCAGCAGGACGGCTACCCAGCACCCCGCCGCTGCCGCCGTAACCCCCGCGTGCCCCACCATACCCGCTGCCGTACCCTGGCAGTGGCCAGGTTCCCGCCGCCAGCATCTCATCTTTTCGGGCCCGATATTTCACATACGGTAGAACCTGAAAAGGATGAACAGAAAAGAAAATAATAATATTGGAAATAATGCACACGGTAAGGTCCCTAGGTAAGCGCTAGAAAAACAAAAAAGATAGGGGCATATAGATATAGATATAGGATATAGGGGATATAGATATAGATATAGCAGTCAGTGCGGTGTCGAACCCCTAAACAAAACCCCTGATCCGCAACCTACAAAGATAGCATACGCCTCGGCACACAACCCCAAAACCAAAATCTTACCATGTTCAAGCATTGCGCCCTACCCCGCCCACGCATAGCTCCAGCCTTCACGACCAACCATGTCAGTGAAACGGCTGACCCTCACCAACTTGGCGACCGCAGCTCCCACCCCACCATCTCCTGGAGCCGGATTGGACCATACTCCCGACTTCATCTCCAACACATCGTAATCCTTCACGCACCCCCACTAACAACCTCCTTCAGCGCCCCAGGCCCCCCACCACCCGGGCCCATTCCCCACCTCTGCACACAGCCTCCTTTCCTCGAGCAGCCCCTGCTCCTCCCTCAGTCGGGTGGCTGCCACCTCACACTCCACCTCCACCAGGGCGTTGTTACCCGGGAGGAACGTGATGCGCACCTGGGGCCCGGGGTGAAGGATGCGGGGGTGAGGGAATACACAAACGTACAGGGATGATAGATTATGTAGTATCCTGGCTATCACGGAATCCGCATCCACCGATCGGTTCTTTTCCGAAAACGTTGTGATAGAACATATTGGTATCGAGCAGGTATTCCTGTTTCGACTCAGGTTCGAATCCCGAGATTGACCGAAATCGAGGACGCCCTGTACAGCAGGGGGGGGGTATAATTGTAGTGTCATGGCTGTCACGAGATCCACAATTCGGTTCATTTTCAAAAAAGTCATGATATAACAGATTTCCAGACACGGACGCCGGTCTTCCGAGAACTATTCGAGCAAATCAGGTGGGCAAGGTAAGATAGGACACTATGGTCCGTGGACATACACACGCACACCCGGCTCACGGCTAAATTTCAACCAAGTACACGCACATGTGTACCTCAGCATACCCAAACCCATCCCGCTCCCCCCTTACCTTCCCCAGACCCGCCTCCTCAAAGGCCCTATGGATGTCGTTGGCTCGTACACCGTGCGACAGTGTTCCTAGGTGGAAGACCAGTGGCCGCTCCGGAACCGGCTCGAGGGTGGCGGGATCGCCGGGTACGGTGGGCCGCAGGAGTGCGAAGGGCAGATCGGAGCGAGTCACGTTGAGACGCCACACGTACGGCACCAAGGAAACGTACGGCACCTGGACACCAGCATCAATACCTGTTACGGCAGGCGCTTCTGTCTCCTCTGTTGTCAGGTCCTGGGTTGGAGGGGTATTCAAAACACAGTAGGTCTGGTCCAGCCAACTCGGTCTTAGGGCTTTGGTTGGCAGGTCGATATTCAAACCGTACCGTGGTGGACTCCGGACAAAACCAGGTAACAAAGCATCCAAATATGCACTCCAAAGACGGAAACGATTATGAGGCAGGTAACAAAGAATTCGGCTAGTTGTCGTACGACGTGCCCAGCTGACCACATGAAAAAGGTGACTAACAGTCGTCGGCACTGTATGTCTGTACGTGGGGAATGGAGCTGTAATGAACTATTTATCAACGGACAACAAGGCAATGTCCAAGCACCTGGTACAAGACCTCCCCGCCGCCCTCTGCGTTCGTTTATGATGGCTAGGACAGTGGTGTACTTGTTGCATTAGACAGCTCAACATGCAGAGGATATGATAAACAGGAAAGGTTCGTGCTGGAAACGTTGAGAGCCGCAGCACCCTCCAGCCCCACCCTCCAGCCCCTGGGCCGTTGTCCACAGGTTGGTAAGGTCCCGTCAGTCCCCCGGGCCAACTTCCCTCCCTTAGTACGCATCCCCTACCACTCCACCTTGAGAAAGGCAAAACACACACGGCAAAGGTACCCGCCACCACGGAGCGATCTGGAACGCCATGCACTTCTCCGCCTTTCCGCCTGGGATGACTTCACCCGCGAGTAACCCCACTGCATCTCGACATCCTTTCCAACACCCACCCCTCCCGGAGCCCCGCGCAACACCACGCACAGTCACAGCCACCCTCCCAACCCATCACCACCTTTTCACTCACCGCTGCTTCCACCTCCATCCTGCCTGCAGCGGCTCCCATTCCCTCTCCCACCTCCGCCCCGAGCACCCCCTTGACCGCCATGACCGCCTCCAGGGCCGCAAACACACTGCCGGTCATGAAGGCGTCGTACCCCGCCTCGTGCGCCAGCTCCCCCGCCGCCACCGCCACGTACTTCTCAAAACCGCGGGCGTGTGAGATGGACACACGGGCGGGCAGGGGCCCTGACGGGGCAGCAGCAGCAGCAGCAGCAAGAACAGGGATGCACGAACCTATTGCATGGCATTGAGGGGGCGGTGTAAACGCGTGCATGCTGGCCCACCTCATTCCCGCAAATAAAACACAAACACGAATGCAAACAGCTCCCCTGGGCCCTCACGTGTGCCCCTGGGCCCTCACGTGTGCAGGAGCGGCCGCCACCGCGGCAGCAGCAGTAGCTGCACGCAACCGGCAGTCAGGCCTTTGGATCATACCGTCGCTTCGTCCTCTAAAATAATGATCGCCCCTGCATACGGACCTGTCCCGCTGGTCACGGAGTTTTGCGGTACAAGGCTGCCATACATGACTGCAAGCATGGTGTCCGACCCCAGCAGTTCCGGCAGCTGGCGGCAGATGTGTTTCGTGTCGTACAGTCCACCGCGGAACCAGTGGGCGACGGCGCGCTGGACGTTGGGCAGGAGGGCAGGAGGGCGGAGGACAAGGACAGCAGGATGGTGTGGGAACGGGGCGAGTAACACAAATGAAGATGCATTGTTGGAGGAAGTGGCGGGGAAGTAATGAGTGTAGCGAAACAGATTCGGATAGGGAAGTCTGGTAGTTAGGGTTGTAGCACGGTAAGACTGGTTTTGCATTGGCAGCTCCACATAATACGACCATAAACCATGGCCCTGAATCCGAACCCGTTTCTTCCTGGCCTCGCGATTCGCACTGAATAACCCCGCAATGGCCTCCTCACTCCGCACCTTCCCCCTCCCCCTCCATGTCTGTTTCTCCCGGCTCAGCTGCTTAACACACACACACCTGCAGCCCTACATCTTCAATTCACTCACCCACCTTGAATCCCTCCCACGTGGCGGGCAGCCGGCCCTCCCCGAATTGCGATATGCCGTACGCCACATCAAACATGCAGTTGTGGCCTACCGCCGGCCGCCCGCACTCCCTCATCGCCTCCCAGACCGCCGCGAAACCCGCAGCAGCTGCAACCCCCGCGCGCTTCTCCGCCTGCTCCGCCGCCTCCAGAGCAGCAGCCTCGGCCGCAGAGCCGCAACGGACCAGCCGTACTAAGGTCATGTTGCGCTCGCCGTTCACCTGTGCTCGTGTCGCACACCGGGGTACAGCAGTGCACGGCACGGCCGGTGGCGGCCCCCGGGGCAGACGTCACCTCGGGTCCAGGACCAGAGAGGAGCTTGTGCTGAGCATGAGTCATGAGCCTCGTTAGGAGGGTGGCGACTAGTAAGTGGCAATCCATTCATGCACCGAGTGGCACGTGCAGGTCGCCACCAGGTCATATTACGACTCCTGACACGCACCTCTCCCCACACCATGCGGTGCAGCAACGTCCGGGTCCTCGCTTAGCTCTCGGGCTCAAAACGCCCATACACGTACACAGGACGATACAACACACCAGCAGTCCGGGGGATAACGCACGCAGCTATCCGGGAGCATTAAGTGCCCCAGCCAGGGCGCAGGAGGAGCCCCGGGGCGCCGCCGACAGGTCCCCGTAAGGAGACACATACGACATCCCCCACCTTAAATACACGTACACACACACGTAACGGCGACAGCGCACTTGCGCCGGGGCCACCTTTCGTCATGCACACATTTTTCTCCGCGGGACTTAGTTACCTGAAACGTGCGCACACACACACACACACATGCGCAGCTTCGTTATCTAAGTAAACAGAAATGTCCGTTTTAACGATAGCGGCTTCCTTCGTAACATGAAGATACGCGGGCGATACACATGCCAAAAGCACAAGGTTACCCAACGGCGCACAAAGGTTATGGCCGATGTACGGCATATCGTACCTTCTTCACGACGAAGCCTGGCTGCCAGTCCGGTGAACCGCCAGGTGGCCCCCCGAAGTTCTCGGGCCGCGCGAGGGCCTGGTAGGTCTGGGGGGTTGACGGAAAGGAAGTTTCAACGCCCACAGACCCCGGGAGGGGGAGGCCGAGGGCCAGTAGGTTATTAGGCGTCCACAAAAGGGGTGAAGAAGAGCTGATCTGGACCACCGCCATCAGGTCGCCCAGCCAGCCTCGGAACACAGCATAAGCTTCAAGCTGCCTCAAGAAGCACCGTCCGCACTCCCCAATCAACCCCCCTTCACCCCTTGCCTCGCTAACCCCGAACTTCCTCTTTGGTTGGCCGCAGTCGACCCCCCCCCTCGCCCTCAACCCTCGCTGCTCACCAGCAATCTCAGATAGCGGTTGACCGGGGGTAAGTCCAGTGGCTGTGAAGATCCGGACGCCAGCCAATCCCGTACGGAAGCCACCAGGTTCTGTACAAACTCCTGGTCGCCAGGGTTAGTCAGCGCAACGTCAGCACGAGGGACCTCGCCCCCGCCGCCGCCCCCACCATTGTTGGCATTGTTACTGAAGTTCTCGCGGTCCAGCTGTTAGGGTAACCCGAAAAAGCGAGTTGGTCCATGTACGGAAAAGGTAAGGCAAGCGGACATTAATACGAAGGTTTACGTTGGTTCAGGATCACGTCAGGTCCTCTCCGTCCGCAGGAAGCCATGTGACCCGGAAAGCCACAAGCCATGCTACCCACAATGCTTTCGTCGTTATGTGTTTCGTCAGGAGCTTCTTTCCCGACCACCCTCCTCTGCCCCCTTCCCCCAAACCCCCATCAGTTCCCTCCCCCCTCCTCCGGTCAACCTGCCTGACGCAGCATGTCGTCCCGTTGTCGTACAGGCATGAATGGCACTCCGTCGTAAATGCAGCGGTTGAAGTCAAAGCCCTGCGACATCCAAAAGAATGGGAAAGAAGGGAAAGAAAGGCAAGGTGGCAAATTAACCACGATATCCCCCCTAAGCAGCTCACGCAGGGTTGTCAATACCGCGTACCACATCGTATGCCGCAACAGCAGCGGTGCACCATCGCAGGCCAAGAACCGACACGTGCTCTCAAGCAATCGCCCATCGCGGCCTCTTTGCCCCATACGATTGCCCTCCGCCTGCCACCTGCCACCGCCCCTCCCCTCCTATTTCAAAGCTCAGCAGCCCCGCGGGAGCCCCCGTGCTCCGCACCTGCGAGGCCAGGAAGCTCAGCGACCCCGCGTCACATAAGAAGCGGCGGGAGGAACCAAACGCGGCCTGCGCAGTGGGGGGAGAAGGGGGGAGAGGAGAGGGAGGTTAGGAAGAAAGCATTGGAGGGAGAGGGCGATATGACACCATGATGCAAGAAGCAATAGGTCAACTGCCGATATCCAAAGCACCAGCTGGCCCAGGGAGAGGTTGGCGAGGGAAACCACAAGCCCTGCTCCATCCTGCCTGGGTCCCCACCCCTCAGGTCCGGCTTCAATGGGGTCGTCGTCCGAGGCCAGCATGACCGTCGCTTGCGAACAGGCAAACTGTTGAATAGTCACCGGCAATCGTCGGCCTTCCAAACGTCCGGGCCTATATTTAAACGTTTAGCGCAAGCACAGAACGAAGCCTAGCCCCGGGGAAGGGAGTTCATCCCAGCGCAGAGGGGTGGAGCACGGTGCGGTAATCCTCACCCCCTCGGGTGGCCGGGGGAAGAGGTAGAAGTTGAATGTGGCCGCCAGGTACCTGGCCTCACCACCGGGCCCCGGCTCAGGCTGGCGGCGGAAACAAGACAGCCCGAACTGGGTGATGATGAATGACTGAGCGGCGGCCGCGGTGCGAGTGTACCTGTGCGGCGGAAGGAGGAGGAGCGGTCAGCGGGGCTCAAGCAAGTTCAGATCCGAAACAAACCAGCAGGCCGAAGTGCAGTCATGCGGATGGCACGTGTAGGAGGCGCTGACAGCTCCATAGTTCCGGCAATCCGCCGCCTACACTATTGGAGCTTAGGGTTGCTCTCAAGGAAGCAAAGGAAGAGTTAGTTACTTGGGCTGCTTTATGCTCCCTCGGGCGCATGACGTGGAAGAACGGACTTGGCGACGGCAGGGCTTCCCTTAGTCCAGACAACGTATTACCGCTGCTGCCTCTTCAGATGTGTATTGGCAAGCCCGTATGCTGCCGTACCTTCATGCAGTCACATGATCGCTAACCACAAGATGGTTAGGTGCGGCCACACACATGAACCCGGCCCGGCCTACCCCACCCGCCGGAACATCTTCCCCTTCCCCTCCCCCTCCCACGTTACACGTTTTCCATCCTCCACTTTCCGCTCCTGATCCGTGCTCCTCCCACCCGCTTTCCGACCCCCCTCCCCACCCCTCCCTCAAGTGCCCCCCTCCCACCTGTCCTGCATGTCGTCCAGGTAGTTCTCAGTTTGCCCATCCAGGAACAATCCGGTCATCTCACAGTCGAATGCAAAGAAGTCGCATGAGGCCAGGTAGCGCCGCACCATGGGGAGCATCACCTGCGATAGGTTCGTAGCCGCACGGCAGCCCAATGTGAGGAAATCAGTTAAGAGATGCCCACCAGCTACCAGCTGCAGACGCGGGGGCCGATCCCAGGATGGAGTTAACACGGGAAAGCAAGTGACGAGGTGCTGGAGCTGGGAGGGGGTTAAGGGACCGGGCAACCAAACCGGGGCAGGACCAGACAACAACGTTCGAGCGGTCCTGCCGCCAGTGGCGGCGATGGGAGGGCCCTAAGTAACGAAAACATACTTAAGCGCTGCAGAAAACACAGCACCGAATGGCATGGCTGTGCACACGCCTCTCATTGCACCCGCAACGCAGTGCACACGACGTGGTGCTGCAGACGAATCAAGGCCGAAGAGGCCGTCACCCAACAGTTGAGCTGCAGGCCGGCCGGCTTTTCCGAGGGCCATCACCCGCTGCATCCAGAGGCAGCCAAAGCCATCCAGGCACTGCCCATGCATACGTGACAGCTTGGGCCGAGAATCAAGAACGAGAGATGAAGACGGAACCCAATGAGACTGGACCGCCCATGATGCCATGAGCTCTAGATGGCTTTCAACAGCTGTATTGCCGTAAACCGACCTCACTATCCGGCCGAGCATCAACCTGATCTGGGTCGGGTGCTTCCCTGCTTGCTGTCTAGCCTCCTCGCGCACCTCAAAATTGTGCCGGGTGACGTCCACAGCAGGGCTTGTCTTGCGGTCGGAGGCGGCGGCAGTGGCAGTGGCAACGGGAGGAGCACAGGACGCCGCCACCTCCAGTAGGTCCATATTGAAGGGGTCCTCGGCAGCCGCCTGCATGGCGATAGAGGCTGCAAGCTCCGCACCAACGGGAATGGCTGCCTCGGAGGTGCTGCTGCTGCTACTGCTACCGCGAGTGGTGGTATTGCTGGCGGTAGGCTCAAGCTGGGGCCAAAAGGTTACGACAGGCGGTAGTGGCTGCTGCAGTGTCGAGTTGCTGCGTGGTTGAAATTAGAACGATTTGGGTGACATGACGCATATGTCAGGGTGGCGGAGAGATTGTAACGGCGGGGAAGCGAGAGTGGGGCATTAGCAGTTGACCAGTTGACCGGCAAAGCCTAGGATCTGGCCAGGCCTTTGCCATGTGAGGAATACCGGAGCAACGTACACAACGGTCTGGCCGGCACGGCAAGAGCCAACATCATCCGACCTCACCTGTAATCGCTGACGGCTGCGGGACTGTCACCGGTTCCTACGGGGATCGGCCCTAGGGTCACAGGCACCGGAGGCCAATACTCGTCGTAGCAAAAGTAGCGGTAGTCCCCACCACAGCTGCTGTTGCTGCTGTCTCTGCAGGTCACGCTGTTTTTGTGAGGGGACCTAGCGAGTTGCCTGAGGATGCCGCAGGTAAAAGCCCCAGGTATCGGAAGAGACTGGCCCCGAAACCGCTGCCACCGAGCGGGAAGAATACATACAGGCGCAGTTACTGCAGCTGCGAGTCGCCTTGTGAAGAATAACTGTCGGATGTCGCGGGTGGGCAGAAGGACCCGGGCAGATGCTGCGGCAGTGAGTCCTTTGGACAATCCGACGGTATAAAGTGAGCAGATTGCTGTGTTGGAAAGCACAGGCTTATCCGTTAGACCAAATTTCGAGTCGAGCTGCGTCGAAAGTCTGACCCAGGGAAGAGCTCTATAATGGCTTGAACCGATGAGGCTCTCCCTCATAAAGAAATTGGAAAAATCTGATTCTAATGAGGAATGCGAGAAGCAGTAATGATAGTTCTTGGGAAACGCACTGGCAACGATTCCCAGGTTATGTCCGCGCAGCCGACATGCGTTATGTGAAGTGAAAGTCAAAATGATGACTGGTACGTCCGATCTACATAAAAGGAGTGAACAGTCAAAGTCTGGTAAGCCGTCCTATTGTCGCGTTGAAATTATTGGGTTCAAGCTCCGAACCTGTACGAAGGGTGCGGCAGGACGAAAACCCAACGGACAAGGTTAACCTTTACAAGCTCATGTCTTGTTATCCTGTGATTCTGGAAAAGAAATACTACTTGCCATTTCTTAAAGTCTTAAGGTGTCTCGGCCTTCGAAGAAACTTCTGACCTTTGAGGCGCCTGCCCTGGTGACAATCGTGTTTTTTTTACCACTATAATAAAAATGACGATGGTCCCGGGCAAAATGGATGCGGTGTCTGTGAATAGGGGTGGGTGCTGGCCATGGAACTTGCGTTGCCAGGACCGGATTATGCATTGACGAGGAGATGGTTCCTTGCGCAGTATGGGAGGAGCACGTTAAGAAGGAGAACAGAGCACTGCAGCTTAACGACCAATTTGCCATTCCAAACCCGCGAAAAAGTAAGTGCACTGATACGCTCTTTAGCAACCTTGCCAATTAAGTTTTGTCCCCTAATTTTGATCAGATGGAAACGTTTGCAGTATACGGTATCACGCCGAACAACTGTCGTTTGTCATACTTCCCTCCCGATGCCCTGCGTGCTTGCAGTGGACATCCTACCGGAAAAACCAAACAGGACAGTACCTACACCAAACCCCGACAAGACAACCGTGGATGCTGCGACCGCAACGCTACATAGCTTAGCTGCAGCGAAGGATGTAGATAAAGTCCCAGTCGATCGATTCGCTTTACCCATAACGGGGAACATGGAGTACGGGTTCTTCCATCGAGTAACACCGGTATGTTGTGTCTCTCGATCCCAAGGGCTAAATGTGTCGCGTTGTACTCTTACTCGTGTCACCTGTGCCTCCCACGGGACAATGCGCCCTTCCAAGCCTTTCAGTGTATGTTGACCTGAGGGCTTAAATCACGTATGCCCAAGAAAGCGAGGAACCCTTCCTGGGCGACGGTTTGTGCGCTCAATTTTTAAAGTCTTGGAGACATACCTGGCACCGTGAGGACGGGACCCTGTTGAAACTACAATTTTCATGGAGAGTTGGCTGCGTTCACGTGTCTTGTCCTAGCTACAATAGAGGCATCCACAGTCGAGATTGGAGATGCCTAGAGAGTACGGCTTCGGCTCAGTTGCACCATGCAACCAACCCCTTCTGACTTGGCTTGAATGTCTCCACACGCATGCGCCCGCTTCTTTCCTGGTGCACCCGATCTTCTCCCGTCACAGGCGGCACCCAACGGCATGTTCAACCACAAGCATAAGCCTTGCGAGCTGACGGATTACGCACAGGAGTACATTAAGAGCTTTAACGGTGTAGGCCCGTACACCACCAGGCTCAACAAATGAGGTCAGCACAGCGATATGTTATTGTTGGTGGTGCACGGCCTCAATAGTGAAGCGCTGGGGTCAGCATGGATTATAGCAGATGGGGAAGATGTGCCAGATCGGTTGCCTGGCTGCCAATGTATTACTGCATCGGCAGCCAGGCAACCGATCCGGCACATGATATAGGAAAAGAATTAACAACAGGCGGACGGATGACAGGTGAACGGATGGCTACCAACTCGGCTGTGGTGCCCTGCAACCACCTGGGTGCAATGGAGCTGCGGCTCCGGAAGCGGGAAGTGATCCCTGGCATGTAAATTGCATTAGAGGTTGTAGCCCTGATGGCGTGTAGCCAGCGAGGATAGCAGGTTGTTCGGGATGATGCAGGGATAGATAGGCAGGACTGGATGGGAATGTATCAGGATCCTAGTGCTGCTTGTGGTACAGAGGGTTATACTGCATGAGCTCCGGCCTTGGCGCCAGCAAGGCTGTGGCTGGGGACTGAAGGTTTGTTTTGCCCTCATTGCATTTACGCATCTGTTTTAGGAAGGGCCAGATGCCAGCAGGAGGTCCGGGCCGTTGGCATAGGGTTCGCACCGTGAAGGTGTTGCATTGGCTTTGTTTGGGGACCGGAAGGAATCATGTCCTGGTACGACGACACGAGAGCTGTCTGCATGATTATATTACGAATCGGTGGTTTTTGCCATGCTGGCTAAGGATGCACTGGGGTCCGTAACGCAAACATATGAGGATTGGGGCGCCGCTTCCGAGGGCTTGCGCCGTGGCTTCATCGCCCTCCTTTTCCGTCCTGCCCGGAATCGCCTGCACATCGTAGCCATTCCAACCCGGCATGAAAAGCCCTACGAGCGCCCCAATTTTGTAATGTGTTCCACACGAGCCATTGCCCATCTACCCTCCACTTGCTCGGGTGACAATACGATGTGAGCCTCCAATCCATTTCCATAGTGATCGGTTTCACCTTGTTATTATTGCCACGTTATTATCTGTCCACATTCTTACAGGGCCCTATGGCCGAGCAAAGGAAGTACTACAGCCCTAAGCCTGGCGTAATGGGGTGCCGCTATCTAAACTGGATGGGTGTGGAATATGACGCAACGACGTCGGGGGTGAGGTTGGAACGATCAGTGTGTACGCCACGGCAGTCTTGGCCGATGGGACCTCGACGTATTCCGTTTCGCACGTCAGCCAGGGTGCACGAACCCCGTGCCGAACGTACATTCCGAGTATGCCGTGGGGATGAGGAGGAAAGATGAGCATCGCGTCTTCACGGAGTGTCGGGCCTATGAGCCTCTTAGGCGTGCCGTGGGGTTCCCCAATTACGTGTTTGAGACATCATGATCCTATGGCATCATGACGGATATCAGTTGGGAAACACACATGTTGGCCGGTACATGTCACAACTTGTGACGATTTCCCAGTAAAGATTCCTGATATATGTTCATGTCCGAAACAACAGGAACCGCCTGGTCCCCGGCGTTAACTGTCGCGTTGCATTCAACAGCGCACTTTGTTTGCTTTCATAATATCTCTTGCATCAAGTCACCTATGATCAAGCAGTGCGCAAAAAGAGAACGGTGCGCGTGGGCAAGCTATGGTTTGGAGTCAAGAGGTAACTCTTGGTACATGAAGCTTACACGACGGCTGGAATCTGTGATACGCCGTGAAATGTTCTCTGCATTTTCATAAAACTACCCACGCACACAGCCAAATGCGCGAGCGCGCCAAATGGCCTGTCGGTCCTTCCTGGTCCTTCGCTCGCTGGCTGCTCGGGAGGTCGCAAGATGTGTGATTGGCAACGGCTGCACTGAACCCTTTCTCTATAGAAGAGTTAAGCACAGGAGAGCTTTAAGCCCCAATCGACTGCCCTTGCCGACGAAAGAGGAGACCTTTGAGGAAAGTGGTTCTCTTTGGCCTTAATATGGACTCCAGGCCCAGCTATTCCCACAACTATTGTCCATTCTTACATTGATACAAGCTTGTGCCAATGGCACAGTGCCATACCATTGACCAGGCAAGCCTGCTTCCTGCGCTGGCGTACTGGGCCTTATAGTGCCCCTGATAACTTGGGGCCCTCCTCAATTTCTCACAGCATGAAATCTCTGCTGTTCATGGTTAAAGTACATTTTTTGTTGTCAAATATTACAAACTAAAGTACAATTCTATTGCCTGCTTCTACGCACAGAGTGGCATAAAGGCTAATTTGTTGACTGTCTTATCCTAGCCAATTAAGTTTCGCAGGATGGCTTTTGCACTGGTTCACGCATCTGGACGCGCCGCCCAGCAAGTTGCCTCCGGCCGCATCAAGCCCGTCCCGGCTCACTCGCGCCGCCATGTTTCCGTGACCCCGGCCTCCTCAGCAGCTTGTTTCAGTGGTCGGGTGGAGTCCGCATCTCCTGCGGTGTGGGGCACCCGCGCGCGCATGTCGCACCGGTCTCACAGTTTGCAGCTACGCGTATCTGCCTCAGAGCCGCTTTCCGTGCCGCTTTCTAGCCTCACCAAACACCAAAATCATAAGAACCAGCCCAGCGCTCATGACGAGGTCTACGGCGAAATGTAAGTAGTTCGAACGGGACAGCAGCGCGACAGTCCCGTTTGCAGAGCGTGTCCTTAAAGCCAGAAAGGCAAGTCTTAGGCTTAGCCTAAGCACGGCTTGTATCTTTTGTGTGTGGAACAATGTGGAACAAGTATATTCGACCTTCAGCCTTCGTCATCAGGGCCACGGTACCAGTTATGCCTTCGTGTTACTGCGGTTGTAGGTCCTGTCCCATGGGAGGTGTCGAGGCAATTATGCGCAAGGCCTCGCAGGGTATCTTAACTACGACGCCAGACGCAACATTGCAAGCCATCATTCCGTTGCTAAACAAGGTCACTGGGCTTCCAGTCCTTGACAGTAACGGAAGTGTTGTGGGAGTAATTAGTCGAAAGGACATTATCCGTGTCCGCAAGTCTGGAGGGCTTATGACCGAGAAGGTCCAAAAGCACATGACTAGCCCGGCGCTTACCGTTCCTTTGCGCGCAACTGTTCAAGAGGCGGCTGACTTGATGCTCAAGTACGCCATTCGCCGTTTGCCTGTCGTTGATGATGACGGTAAGCATGATGCGTAGCGTCGTCCACCAAATCTGTGGAGGGGCCTTTCCTGTACGGCGCGCCCCTCCGAATGGCCTGTAGGACCTCTGGGGGCGTTCTCCCAGCAACGCTGCACTGTTGTACTCCCTTAGTCCCCCGCTGAGGGCATCCTCTGACGTATCGCTGGGCCCTCGGCGAGTATTTATGGCTGCCTGTCTGTTGCGGAAAATTCGGTTCGAGCACTTGTTCTAGCTCAACACGAGATACGGAGCTGGAGACCACGTACTCCGATTGGCCGTTAGCTCCTTTTGGCTTTGCTTGCCGATGTGTTCGACGCGTGATTAACTCTTGGGGCTCCAGAGCCCCTGCTCTGAGCAGGTCACCCTTGCTGTTGTTGGTTGTTAGGTAGTAGTACATTGGTCGTTCACCCTCCCTGGCACCTGTTTCGGTTCTTCGCAGGTCATCCTCTTGGCTTGATTTCCCGTTCCGACATTTTTAAGCCGCTTGGTGACTACGACAAGGTGATGGCGGAGGAGCTGGCCATGCTGGCGGGCAAAGGGAGCTGGCAAATTAAGGTGAGGACAAAAAGGGTGTCGAGGAGCCGAATCTGGAGGGAGCTTGCCGATAGGGCAATCCATACGAGACCGCAAGTAAGGGCAGCAATTTTACACGAGACGTCTCGCCAAACAAACTGACCGCTCGAGTGGTGTGTTGGTCCATTCCTTTCCTTGTATGTCGTGGGCAAATCCGGGGCAGCTGCATCCGCCGTCAGATGGTCAGTTGGAATCATACTGCTAGGGTGCATGTCCGCGATGGCGGCGTGCTTACATGGCGGTATGTGCACCTCCCATTCTCAATTGTGTTCTGCAGTATTTGTACGATGGTAGCTGCCCAATCTGCTCCTCTATGAAGGAGCTGCTGGAGCGTCAGGATAAGGTGCGGCAAGCCTTCATGTGTGGGCATGGGGCCCCTAATTGGTTCACCCGTCGCGCTGAGCCCTATGACATGTTCATCCATGTGAAGGACTCTGGATTGTCCTTCGCAGATTGAACAGTCATTGGGGGCTATCTCGAATTCCTTGCATCTTATGGTTTTGGGCTTGTAGCTTGTTGCTTTGCCATGCTGTACTTACATCATCGCTGTTGACTTTTGTTTCCTCAAAAGGGTGCGGGTCGCATCATTTTCGTGGACGTTTCCTCTTCGAAGTACCGTCCCTCAAAGAACATGGGTATCAGCCAGGACGAGGCAATGACCACCATCCATGCTATCCGGCCGGATGGCTCTGTACTCATGGTGCGTGGGTGGGTGGGTGGGTGGCTCCCGGTGCATCCCGGCATTGATTTAGGGTGTCCTTTGCAGGGGTTGATTGCATCCGTGTTGCGCTGTAGTGCTATTTGCCGCGAGCCCTATTGCGATTCAGGTCTTGTTGTACCTCGTAATTTGCTAGACAGCACTCCTTCAACAGGAGTTTCAGATGAGGGCGATCAGTGCGTGGGACAGCGCCATGTCAGGTGGAATATGAACTGCAATGATTTGTGATGTCCGTAGACGGTCACATGTCCCATGTTCGACGGTCTCTGGGATACGAAGAACTCTCGAATACGACATCCGACTAAACCGTAAGGGTCACGCAGGACTCGCTCACCCCGAATGTGAAAACACAACCACGCCCACCTGCCTCCAGGGTACTGATGCCATTCGTTCGATGTACACGGTGGTGGGTTTGGGCTGGCTGGCCTTCCTGATGGAGCTGCCGCTGTTCACTAATGCCGTGGACCTGCTCTATGAGTTCATCTCCCGCAACCGCATCTCGCTGGGCGGCGCTATGGACACTCTTCTTGCCGGCAAGAAGTTGCAGATGAGCAAGGCGGGCATCACGACGTGCTCGGATGTGGACGAGGAGTGCAGCGTTGACTGGTAGATGTGTAAAGGCAAGAGATGTGAGGTCGTAGCTGTGACGGTTGCATTTTTGATGTTATCATTATCTTCGCCATCCTGTTCGCCTGCAGAAGTCCTTGCTAGCGAACTGCAAGCTAGCCAGTTGCATTCATGCCGGAAGAGGGGAGGTTAGATTCCAGTCGTTGCAGGTGAGGGATTCTTTCAGGGCCTTTTTCTAGGGGACTTTAGGAAGTGGGAAGTTGGGTGCTGTGTGGTGGTAGAAGCCAAGCTGGAAGGTAGCATGCTGAAGTAAAGCCAGGCGTCGGGTCCTTGCGGCTCCCTGGCACGATGGTTCAGCAGGACCCCCGCAGCCGTGTTTAACGCATTAACACATTATTGATCTTAGAGCTGCAACTTCCACCATTGTCTTACCTTTGCGGCTGGCGCCTGCTGCATTGGCGGCGCTTGCGGGTCGTGCAATTAGAAGAGCACGGGTGCTGTCAAGGTGCATCTGATTTCGCTGTGCCGCTTTGTGTGTTGCCCCGCCTCGGTTGCCTATCCGCGTTCAAGTCCGATCGGACAGTGTCTCCACATACGAGTGGGCCTCATTGTCTGACCGGTCATCCGGGCTCGGGAATGTCCGACAAGGGTCTAGACGATGCTGACGTGGCAACTGTAGTGATGTTCAACGCACCGTGTGAACGGGGCCTCGGAGGTGCATATCTTTTTTTATTGGTGTAGGCCTACCTGGCCACAAATTTGCGAACATTTGGCTCAGTGCTGGTCTGCAACTGGACTCGTCTTCGTGATGCAGGCAAGGAGTTTGTTGCGATGAGCGGCGGGTTAGCGGAGGAGAGGCGGATCAGTGACGGGGCCCCCACGGTTGGTTCGTCTGTGACGTGCATTTGACTCCCCATTGACAAGACGCGGGACGGAAAGTACGGCCGTTCGAATTTTTGAGCTGTCGATCAACGCAGGGTCAATCAGGGTGATGACCCTTCCCTTCAGATAAAGCCGTAGTAAGGTGGGCCGGTGATGCGCTGACCTGCATTTTCAGGCGTTGTGTTGTCTATTCAATTCACCTCACAATAAGAGTGCACGAGCTCTGACCGCTGTTAATCTTTTGGCGGGTTCTTACATGTCTTGATTTGAAGTATTATGTGATGCCATGTTTGAAGCATGGTCATAGGCTGGTACGGGTGCTCGGTAGTGCACCACCCGGGCATGTGTCAATGGATGTGGATCGGTCGTGTTTCGAAACTGGGATATGGGTTCAGAATTTCTCAAGGTGTTGTCGGCGCCTGACGCAACGCACACGCATCCGCCTGAGGACTAACTGTGCTGCGCTGCTTCCTACAGTGATGTGTGTAGTGTGGATTAAAAGGCGCCTTACCGTGCCCAACCCGCGAATGGGCAAGGTGATGTTGACGAATGCAGACAGTTTCGGCGGTGAATCAGTACCTGAAAGAAATGACATACCTTGCGTGGACACGGAGAACCGTCGTGGCGATTGTCTGTGGACACATATCTCCGGCAGATTTAATACGGCGGTGAAGGTAGGAGGTGCCGGGCCGGTTTAGCATTGTGCCTAGCAGGCCCAACCTGTTCCGAGCTGCACGAACGCGCGTCATCCTAATCCGAAATCTTGACTATCCTTATTTTGTGTCTGAGAGCGATTATGTGGTTAGCGATTCCTAATTGGCCCATGCGATGGGTATCTAATTTGTATGTCAATGTGTTGTGTGTGTGTGATGCAGCAATTGTGTATTTTCATAAGTGAATGTGTGTTAGCAACAGATTGGTGTTAGGAAATGTTGCATGTCGACAGGTTTGCACCGCTGTTCAGTCTTGAAGTAAGAGGGTTCCGCTGTGGATGGACTTGAGTGGATGGATGGAATGCTGCTGGTGAGCATGTTTGGCGGTGCAGGACGGCAAACAGGAGAGGTGGTGAGCTGCATTCTTGTGGTTTGTGTGTGTATAAACTTTTGAGTGACGTGCGTGGACGTTGGCTGGTGCTAGTGCATGATGTGTGAACAAGTATCACCTGCCTTGTACGACCCATAGAAGTTGGATAATCAAACGTTGTTTTTCATCGTCCTCGTCAACCGATTGCAGTATGCTTGCCCTCGGATCAGGGCAGTGTCGTGTTAGGAAAATTGGCTGGGACAGTCTGATGACTAAGTTGTTGATTGATGTGGTCGAAGGATTTCGTAGACGATCTGCTTTTGGCGATGAATTCTTATATGATGAGAGAAGGTGATTACAGTCATTTCATGGCGGCGAAGAATGCCTTGTATGCCCGCAATGATTCGGTAGGGTCACTGCATGGTGTGTCAGTGCGAATGCATGGCACAATACCCACGGGACTGGATACGGAGACGCATATCGTATTTCATTGTTCAGGATAATTCCACAGGGCGAAGAAGTTGTCATGGTTGTCATTGTGTGTACGCGTCTGTACGTATATACTGTAACAGAATCTGGAGTTCCATTAACGACTGGACTGCCACAACATGCCTGATGACCGCATCCACAAGTGATCAGGCGGCAGTGAGGACCGGAAAAGAATTAAAAAGATTATCTGTCCCACTACTGTTTATGCATGTCCCCCACGCATGTAGGTGCCTAGTGCAAATCAGCTTACAGGTCCAATTGCAGACTTCGAGGAGGCACAACACGACATAAGTAGTATAGCTTTTTGTGAACGTAACCAAATGGACAACTGCTTTTCGGCGACGTCTCCGAAGATTATTATAACGTGCGTTACTTGTTCCATTCTCACAGACCTCTTGTAAACATGTATTTATCGACGCTGCAAAGTAAAGGTCGTACTGTGCCATGAGCGTAACACCGCTGCAGCAGCCCGCTTGGCTCTTCAGCTCGTTGCGGCTTGCATACAAATAGCATCAGGTAGTGAATCGCCATAGTGCACAGCAAAAAAATGATGCCCGGAAAATGCGAACCTCGACTGCAGCTCATGATGGTCTCACGAAAATACGACACGGCTCTGGTACGGCCGTGATTCATTACCCCATCGTCAATGCAAAAATCCCTGTCTCTCATCCTGCCTTGGTACCGTATGATGCGCCATGATTATTAGCTGAGTTCCAGGACGGCTGCTGACCCGTTCGACAAGACCGCTATGGGAGGCGCCCTTTGACGGACCGGGTCCCCAACTGGATCCAATCCCCGGCACTGTCCACACGGCTGCGGGAAATTGCAAATACATAAGGGGCAACTCCCAGTTATGGTGACGTGTTGCCTAATAGTGGATCACGAAGAATTACCAAAAAAAGACCTGCGATATGCGGCTGCTGCAGTCGACGTTGTATGCCACTCCGAGGCATTGCAACTCCGAAGCGCACTTCAGTTACGCGGGTTTCACCATTCCAGTCCCACTAGTAAACGTTAAACGGAAAGTGGCAAATTGACTGCCATGGGCTCCATTAGCGATAAAGGAAAGCCGAGCACAGACTTCTCACACTAATCTGATTAAGATCAAATCCCCCTGAAAGCGAACAAGGCTGTGAAGAAATGCGGGCGGTGAGAGGCGATGAGAAACAAAACCCAACGCAACTCCCATCGAAAAAGGCGCCACCCAACCCCCAAAGAAAAGCTGTATTACATCTCAAAAACATATCACATGAGTTTGCATTACAAAATGTTGTTACAAAGCTTCCAGGCCAACAAACCTTAAACCCCTATTGAACCCTTATATCCAGCCACGAAACACAGAACACATACCGACAAGTCCGAAAGCAGTCAGACGGATCAGCCCAACTCCAAAGAAACGCCTTTCATTCGACGGGACGTCAGAGAAATACAATCCACATCATAATCCGCCCCCCCCTCCCACACGCACATATCGAACTTCAGACGGTGGACACTCAGAAACCGCGTCATGACTACTGGTGAGGGACGCAATCAGCCAAGGAGACAGCTGCTGTGTCGCTGCGGACCATCTCCCGCGATCTATCCTTGCCTTACCCCTCCCAGCCCCTCGGTGCAATGCCCCGGCTATAGTACGACACGTGCCTCCAAGCCTGGAAGACGGCAAGCCCTGTTAAGCAAGCACCGAAAGGGCAGGGATACCACCGGCCCTCATCACGCCCACACGTGCAGCGCACGTAGGATACACAATAAGCACCACGGCCGCAATCCTTGCCACTACACCACATGGAACCGACAAACGGACGGACAAACACACGTAAGGAACACACGACAGATTCCGCCCCACATCATGCATGATCGACCTCCTTGTTTTCCCAGATTGACCCGGCTCCGCGCAATCCCAGGACTTATCGACATTGCGCACGACCAGTAAGTCCCCTTCTTTCATTTTCCAACACTCCTACGGAGCTGCCCAACCCCGGAAGCCGCCTTCATACTCATGAAGCGACCGACATGCATCGGTCCTTGTACATGCATCCCACAAGTAACTTACCCGTGCACATCACGCGCTATAACCCCCGCCACATCCGCCGCTATCCCGCGGAGTACACACGGCGGACATATGGCTGGACATCGAGTGCCGTGCAAATGCTCATGCCCGGAGCTGGAACCATGCACGTCCCAACAAGCAGTGCTGCATGAAGGGTGCATTGGCGACTGAGACGACCTAAGACGGTGGCGGCAGGCGGCAGCGCACTGCTGTGGGCAGCTTAGGAATGTGGACAGTGGCGTTGCCTCCTTGAAGCACGTAGCGGTTGCAGCAAGTAATGTCCAGTGAAAACGGGTCCCGGGGCTACACCGGGTACATCACCTTCTGCTGTGCTGCTCCTCGTTGCCGGAACATAACCAATTCTCTCTCTGTGTGCTGTAATGCGAGGCAGAAGGGGGTTGTATAAGGGGCACCGTGTCCAAGCCCATGTGGTGTTGACACTGGCGACCACAGCTCAGTGCTACATACCACACTGCGCTGACCAGAATATAGGACGGGCACTGCATCGACATGTCCGCCCTTCCGCTGAGCTGTGCAGACCTCCCATCTCCAGTCAGTTGGTATGTAAGACCAGTAAGTCGCTGGTCCCGCGCCCCTCCGTGCGGGTGCTGCCGACCCACCGGCTGCTGCTCTGCCCCGCTGTTCACTACCGCCGGTGGGGTGGACCTCTGCGCGCGGAAGCCTTCAGCCAGCGCGGTAGTAGCCGCAGTGCTCAGGCAGTCATGGAGGCGGCCCGGTGAAGTCGGCGTCGGCGGCCCTGCTCAGGAGTCTCAACCACCACTCAGAGCACTGAAGTACGCCACAATGCACTTGATTGAACTAAGCCACGCCACATAGCACGACGCAATGCAACCCAGAAGACGTGCATAATGCATTGCACAAGCGAACCCGTTTCCAGGACCGCACACCCATCAACTGAGGAGTGGACTGTAAGGTAATGAACGTTGCCAGGAAACCAAAGGCTGCGGTCACATGTTCATGAACAAGCTGGCCATAGTGCTAGACACGTTGAAGTACTCGTCCTCAGTTACGCCGTACAGGGTCTTGCACACCTCCAGGGCTGCGAAGTACTCGGCCATCTACAACCACGGCATACGACGCAAGTGTGCAGAAGTGGTCGCTGTCACCGTTATCACGGGTCCCATGCCGCTGTGTGTCATGTGTGACCATTCAGCGAGTGCGATCATGTCACGGGTCAATATCATTATCCTCGACCCCGATGGGTGCACTCCAGAGGATACTGCAGGAACTTGGGAAGCCTCACATTAATACACAGTGCACCTGTAGTGTGCGCCCTTACGCGCGCCACGGAAGCATGAGCCCCATACTCGAGAGGAGTGATGCCACACACATACACATAACGCGCATTACGCGCCAGCACGTGCACCTTAAGGCCCAACCCCGAGGGGAAATGCGCATTTATCTCCATGCGCGGCCAACTGAACATAACCCACTACGGCCCCCCTTGCCTCCACCCTTTCCCCCTCCCTTAGGGGAGCCATTGAACTCGCTTCCGAGTGACGACCCGGCTGGCCCTCTTCCTTTTCTTAACTTAGGGATTTTAGGATTTCATCGTTCCTAGGGTTATAGGGTCCCTCCGACTCGAAAACTTCTCCTCCTCCGTACCTGCGTGGAGCCCTCCTTGCCGTCCAGCACCATGGCCACGAAGTCTGCAACCACGGGCGGCAGCCCCTGGCTCACGTACTTTTGGCTCTCCAGCTTCTCGCGGTCCTCCTCGCTGGCGTGTGTGTGGAAGCTGACCGCCTTGAGCAGCTCAATGCGATCTGCCACTGACAGCTCTGACTTGGAAAGCATGGTCTGCGGGAAGGACGTGGCAGGTAGTAATGAATCAAAATGCACAAGCACCGAATGCCGAATGTCTTGAGTGAAACCCATGCAAGGTTCCGTCTCAAAACACGTACACATGGCCGCATGGCTTCCGCACGGCTCACAGCCCTCAATAGGCAACACCAAGCACCGGCCCGCTACACAACAGTAACAATGACCGAAAGATGGACGGTCCCCAGCTGTCCACCCAACCATTACCACCACTCCGCCTTTTCGTCGGGCCCCGCTCGCACCTGCAGTTGACCGAAGCTGAGCTTGTGCCAGAGCTGCTCGAAGCGGGGTGTACCATAGGCCAGAACCATAGCGCCCAGCTTCTGCGCCGCTGTACTGTCCAGCTGCTGCACCGCAGCCACCATCTTATCGCGACCCATCTTCACCATCGCTGCGCAGAGCCGGCACTCCGGCTCACTCGTACCCGCCGGCCCCGCTGCAGCGTGATCACTGACATGGCCGACGGCAACGTCGCCTGCACCACCGGCAGCCCCATCAGCGCCGGCTGCTTCCATCGCGCCGTTTGGACTGCCAATCTCCGTATCACAACCCGGTCGTTCATCTGCATCCTCCTCCGCAGTCCGCCCTCCCTCTTCGTCATCATCCTGCTGGTCGCCGCCGCGGCGCTGCGGCTGCTCCACCATCTCGATTTCGTCGCCAGCATCCCCACCGTCGCGGTTGGGTGAAGGCGACGAGCCCCAATTCCATCTGTCCTCACCGTCTCCAGCCCGCTCCTGCTGCTGCGACGGCGCCTCCTCGCCCTGCTGCTGCCGCTCGCCGCCCTCAAAAGCCTCCGCAGCTCCGACATGCTGCCGTTTCGCCGGCTCTACCGCCTCGGTAGAATTGTCGCCAGCCTCGCCGCCCTCACCAGCGGCGCCGCCGCTGCCGGGCTCCTCGCGCTCTCGCTTGCTACCGGCAATTGGCACCGGGGCGCCCCCGCTGCCCTCGCCTTTCTGCAGCGGCTTCCTCGGCTTCTGCTGGACCTGGGTCCTGTTGCCGGCGGCGGCGGTGCCAACCGCCCCCTTGGACCGTAGCTCGTGATGACTGCAAAAGGCAAGCGCGGTGTAGACATGTGCGGGGCGTGGGGGGCTTGAGCCGCGGGTTGGGTGATTGGAAAAGGAGACCGCCTATCCGACAGGAAATGCGGGCTGGACACGGTTTCGGAGGCCACATGCAAACAAAGGAGGACGCACCAGCACGTTAACACAACCCTTAAAGGATGCGATGACGGGTCCTTCAAGAGCAGATAGCCAGGCAGATCTGGGGACGGCCGGTTGGATGTGGCCCTACCATAACTGTTCCTGACAGCTAGAAGGCACAGTTAGCAGCATGCAATTGGTCCACGGGCGCCCCCAACACACGAATTACAGGACGAGTAGCTATGGCCTTGTGCGCATTAAGACGAAGGAAAGGACCGGGCCAAAGCCCAGGGCCCCATGGTGGGCCTGCCTCCCAACAGCCCTGCCTCGCTCACCCATGCGCGAAGGTGCACTTATCACCGTAAGGGCATGACTTGGTGTTCATGAAGCGCTCGCATAGGCGCGTCTTGTGCAGAGACCCCTCCTTACTGCCCTCCTTCGAACCCTGGAGCACACAGTGAATGGGGAACAAACAAAAGCATCGCATCACTGGCTGTACGCAATCAGATAGGCACATCTGGGGATTTGTCAGCGACCGTTAGAAGATGATGATATGCCGGGCATGCAACGACGGGGTCCTTGTACAAGGATGCACAACAGAACCCCCGAAACCAGCAAACACACGAGTAATACGACCCCATGCTAAGCGCACCAAAGGTAGCGCACTGGCGTTTCCACTTCGAAGCGGAATTTTCGCTTCGTACATGTACATGCGGGTCCCCAACCTCGTCTTCACCGTCTTCTATCATCATGGTCCGCCCGCAACAGCCCGGGGATGAGGAGGGTCCATACATGTACTTCTGTCCATGGTAAGCACTCGCTCGGGCCCTCTTCCGTTCATCTGCGTCCGCAGTTTCTATCTTCCCGCTGCGACGGCCCCGAGGCCTGCTCACCTGCTGCTGCTGCTGCTGGGTGGTCAAGGTACTTGGCGCCAGCCGAAGCTCATTATGACTGCAACAACAGAAGCGGAACAACAGCAGCAGCAGCATGAGAATGCAAAGCAGCAATCATAACCGCAGCAATGTTTTGCTGGAGAACACAGTAATGGCTATTTTAGCCATAGGTCACTCAATGGCGCAAGAATATGGGCAACACTGCAGCAGCAGGGGGCGCCTTGTCCCAGCAGCGGTACCATGTAGCCATAACAGCGTAGCGGCAAGGGCCAGTGTGGGCAAGGGGCTGGCGATTGGGTGCGGAGAGAAGGGCACAGGAAGGGGGTCCCTCGGCCGCAGGAAGACAGCCCTCGGCCGCGCATCTGATGCAGCCCAAATCCGACGCCGAATATCAAGACCTGCAACCCTGGCGCACTTAGGCCGCGCCATGAGTGCCCATGCTGCCATGTAAGATGGCAGCCCACGCGTGCAATGGCGCCCGGCCTAAAACTCATAAGCATTAACTCACGCAACCCTGTACGGAAAGTATATGCCGCTACTCCGCTGTCTCCTCCAGTCGGCTGGCACAGCTGCAGCAGCGGGGAGATCAGGAAGGGTCCCTGCTCCCGTAATCAGTTCCCGCAGCAGCACGCCTCCTGCACGGCCTCTGTGCCCCAATGCTTTAATAGCTTGGTTCTTGATCCCGTAAGCGTAGGCAGTTTATCCTTTTCTTCTCGCTCAATGCCCGTTTGCGCGACCACACCCAAGGGAAGCCCTCCCAAACCTCCTCCCATCTGTCCCTCCCAAAGTCCCCCCCAATAGGCCTTACATCAGCCCTCCGTTCCACCCACCCGTGAGCGAAAGTGCACTTGTCGCCGTACTTGCACGACCCTGTCCGAACAAATTCCTCGCAGATACGAGTCTTCTTCATCAGTTCAATCATGGTGCGCTTATCCTGCGCAGACAGCGAAAGGCGGTTCGAAAATACATGTAGGGGTTACGGCAACATGGGAAAGGGACAGGACGGCCGCTTGAGGCATGAAAACAGCTCCTCTTAACTGCGCGCCCCATCTAGCTTGTGTCTAGAACTATCTATCAATAAACTCCTCTGCCACACCGCCTATTGGGAAACACCGGATAGGATTCGACAGTTTGTTCACAACATATTTCCATATTCCCTATATCTACGAGGCTTCTGGGTCCAGCTCGGGATTCGTCACCTATGCTGTATTTCATCTTTCCCCCTGAACATGTACTTGCGGACATGATATCCAAGCCGGGGCAAGTGGATTCCCCCTTCATCTCCCAAAACAAACTTAAACGTCTAGTGAGAAGCGCGTTTAAGAACACTCACCACCTCCGCCTTTGGGGCCCGGGCGCCGCCTTTTCCCCCCTCCGGAAGAGGCGAACGCAAGTCCGCGTCGCCATGGGCATACTTGCATGTTGGGCCGTATGGGCAATGACCTTCCTTCCATCTGGGCGGTGGAGGCGGAGGGGACACGAAGCGATAAGTTACCACAGTTCTGGGAACGGAAACAGATCGTTGGTGCTGGATAACACACGAAAGTGCATCTTCATAACTTTATGGTAGTTCGAAAGCGGATTCCTTAGCTAAAAGATAGGATAGGACATCGTGCGCCGATGAGGTGGAGCTATGTTAATGTTCTCTGGCAGGTCCGCCAGTCGAGGGGGGCACTGGTCACTGACACTTCAAGAGTCATCCGCAAGCATTTCCTCGTTTCCCTAACCATTGACTGACAGCAGGAGAAATTGCCCTCAGGGCTCAAACTGGAAATTATGCCTAGCTCTTGCATAGTTTTGCGACTCCTGCAATGCAGCTGTACATTCTGTTGTAAAAATCTGAAGTTATTATATGTTTCGGGGCTATCCCGACGGCAATACGCCAGCACTCTCCTCCACATCTCACGTTTCGCGTATCCGTCCGTCCCTGGGCTATACCGCCTCGCATGGTTCTGACCCAGAAAATTTCCCCTTATATCCTAGCCTTTGCGATGCCTACTGTTGCTCGTGGCTTCCCTGCCCTGCCTATGCATCCAATCCCAGACAAGGCAATGCGGTTAGCACGCTCACAACGCCCGCTGCCGTAGCGAAAGCAGGCAGGTAAGCAAATTTAACCCATTGCCCCAGCCCGTTAGACAGCCGCCAGTCTCACGCCCCACCCAGCCTCAGCCTCTTTCCTCCCCGCTTACTTGTTGCAGATCCTGGTCTTCCAGAAACGCGTATTCTCACCGCCGTCCTGGCCGGCCTGTTGCTGTGAGGAACGCATATGATGCTGCTGCTGCATCTGAGCGCCCATCAAGCCCATGCCGCCGGGAGCCATGCCGCCCATGGCACCCATAGGCCCTGCCATGCCGCCCATGGCACCCATAGGCCCCGCCATGCCGCCCATCGCGCCCATAGGTCCCATGCTGCCCATCGCGCCCATACCACCTGGGTTGCTCATGCCGCCGGCTGATGCTGCTGCAGCCATACGTTGATAAGCCGCCATGCGCATCGCATATTGCTGTAAAAAGGAAGCCGCGGGAAAGCGCGATGCAAATGAGAGGCTTGACCACGCAAGATCTTACGCAGCAGGTCACACGATAACATATCCTCGTCAAAACATATTGAAATCAACGGAAGCAATCAACATAACGTATCAGTTGAAACTAACCTGCATGTATGCTTGCATCGCAGCCATCGCCTGGGGATTACCAGCTGCCATGGTCTGCCAGTTGGACATTCCAGAATTCATGCCTTGCTGGCCCATCATCCCAGTTCCTTGTTGGCCCACCATTCCGGTTCCCTGCTGGCCCATCATCCCTGTCCCTTGCTGGCCCATTAATCCAGGAGCTGCGTTTGCAGGCGTAGCTGTGGCACCACCTGCCGGGTTCATTCCAGTCATACCGCTCATGTTCATGCCGCTCATGCCGCTCATACCGGCCATGCCTGTCATGCCATGCAAACCGGTCATCATCCCGGTGCCGGGTGTCGGCTGCTGCAAGGCGCCCTGCTGCTGGCCAGCCTGAGTTAGAAGCTGCGGCATCTGGCCTACAAGCTGACTTTGCATTTGGCTCATCGGCTGTCCGCTTTGGCCAGCCATCTGACCGCCCAGTTGGGTGCCCATCTGAGCGACGCCCATTTGCTGGCCCACCATCCCTCCAGCCTGTTGCCCCATCATGTTTGCATACATGCTTGTGTTATTTCCATACATTTTCCTGCCGTAGAAGCAGGCCTGCAAGGTAGATTCGACCCAAAGATCGGTCAACCTAGCGAGCGACTTCTTCAATAGCACCTGTACAGCCTTGTAAACTATGTCGGAAGCGCAGAACGTTTGCAAAGATTGTTCGTTCTAGTTTGAAGTTGCACGGCTTTGGGCCGGAGCGGTTATACGACCCGATGGCATGCAACTGCTTAAAAATGCCATGTTTCTTTCCATACAAAGGACCAGCCCGTATACGCCAGAGATGCTTAATATTACCAGGGAATCGACAGAACGCCACAGGAACTCGCCAAGCTGCGCATCTGCCCTGCTGCAGCATCGGACGCCCGCACCCGACGCTTTACCTTAACCTTCGTCCCCCTGAGCCCCTAATAAATTTTGCACTCAATATAAGACTACAACACTAGCGTGTTCTCATGAAGGGATCAAACCGGCACGTTGTCCCCACACAGGCCCCAACGCGGTCGCAACGAACGGCACGCAATCCGTTGGGCTAACGCCTAAACAATCAGGGCATTCACAGCTTACCCCTTGCTATACACATAATCCTTCACGACATAGAGCTGCGCGTACTATGCAAATGCCTAGGCGGTGCAAGTGGGTGATGCAAGTGAGGGGTATGAGTCGGAGCCAGCTTGTTTGTTTCACTGCATGTCGCAAAAGCGTGTTGCTAACCTGGGGCCGCAAACACTTAGAAAGTAATCGCATCATCGCGTTAGCGAATACTTGCTGCAATGCTATGGCAATTAGCAAGCCAATGTCTGCATGATCGTTAATTTCCTCAGCATAAGGAGGTCGTGTCTGTTATTGGGAAACCTTTAGCACCCTCGGTTTAGTTCCGTTTGTACCGGACCTTACTTCCGTTTTTTGCTGTTGTACGACATTTCGGAAGTGGAGGACAGGGGAGGGTCTCTTGTTGCTTGGAGTTGTCGGGGCCGTGGTGGGGTCTTGCCTTGCTTGGTCCCTTTTAGAGCCTTTCCTGCTGCTGATCGACACCGGCACGCGCGGTATGTATGTTGTTACAGGGTGGTATAGCTTCACCAGCGGCCCCCTTTCTCGAGGCAGTTCCCTGCTCTCCTCTGCGAGAGGGGCACCCTAATCCTGTCACCCCATCCAACTTCAGAATGTATTCGTTGGGTTCGGCAACTCACCACCAGCATCCAACCAAATCTAGCGGATCAACGGCGCCTCAACTTAGTTCCTGGTCAGCTCGCAAGTTGATATTAGCACGTCCTACACCGTCCATAAGATGGGGGGCCACCTCCCATTTCAACACTTCTCAAACACCCGAGGAGCCAGCAGACGGATTTGAATCCGGACACTCCGGGAGCAGAAATCAGGCCTTAACCTCTGCCAGCCGGCTGCATAGTGTGTTGAGGGAATTCTGTATGTCGATTGTTCCACTTAATATGGTACTAATAGGGTCTGATAGCTCGTCACGCACCTCCCAATATCTGGTCCACCTGACAAATGTTGACCCACATGGGAATCCTGACATGGCGCCACAGGCGGCTACATTCTTCCAGGAAAACCAGCTTCCGGCATACTATGGCGAAATTGACTCCATCTGGTCCGTTGTCTGCAGTTTCTCCTCCTCAGCTGAACGGCCGTGTGCCGTGTGTCAGGCCCCTAACAGAAATCACCAATTGAAGTGTTCAGCCGATGCTGCCGCACTGCGAGTTGCTGTGACACGGCGAGTCGCGGCCGACCCAGGTGTCATTGTCCCCTTCCGTTTTGCCGAGGGACTGGAGTTTGCGAGGCACATTGAGCTGTTTGTGCGGCTCAAGGCGGTCACATCCGCATTGATCGCCAAAAGATGGGGGGCCACCTCCTATTTCAACACTCCTCAAACACCCGAGGAGCTGGCAGGCGGATTTGAACCCGGTATGCTTGGATGCGGACTCTGCACCGGGGCTCCGTGCGTTGGGTGACCAGGCCAGATAGATCCGGGGTTTAAATAACTCGCTCTTACCTCATCAGGGTCGTTCGTCTCCTTTATTTTGCGTCGCGCATCACATGTTATTTTTGGCTTGCATGTCAGATGTATCTTATTTAAAGTAAAAATGCTGGAGTCGGAATGCCGTTCACACTTAGACGTCGCACACAGAAACGTATCCGTCGGCTTACCTTAAACCGAAGTGCTCGGCTCAACACCGGCTTGACTCGACCGGCTCGACCCGTATTCTTTCGCGTTCCGCCCCAAGGGACGGGTCGGTCGGGTGGGGTCCGGCCCAGGCTTTTTTTCGTTTAGGACGGGTCTCAATTATTCCAACCTAACTAACAACAGGTTGTCTTAATTTATTCCTTAATTGTGAGGCGCTGGGGTGGGCTCCGGCCCCCCCCGCCCGCCCCCCCCCCGATATGTACAAAAACCAAGAGTCATGCACTGAGTTTGGCGCGTTTTTTCGTTCGTGTGTCCGGTCATTGACTTGTGCGTGCGTGTTTGGCTATGCCGCGTTGTCTCACGGTCTTGACCTTCTTACGGCCCCTCGTATATATTTCAATGATTGAAAATACAAAGTTCTGCAAACTACGGAGCAATCTGGCAGCAATGGACGTTTTGGGCTGAAGGAATGAAAATGTACGGGTCGGCCTCAATTTATTCCTTTTTTCCAAAGGCCAAAATGCCTGTTAGGTTTTCTTGTTAGTTGATGTTGTTGATGTTGTTACAGGGTGGTTAAGCTTCACCAGTGGCCTCCTTCCCGAGGCAGTTCCCTGCTCTCCCCTGCTAGAGGGGCACCCTAATCCGTCACCCCATCCGACTTCAGAATGTATTCGTTGGGTTCGGCAACTCACCACCAGCATCCAACCAAATCTAGCGGATCAACGGCGCGTCAACTTAGTTCCTGGTCAGCTCGCGAGTTGATTTTATCTCGTCCTACACCGTCCACAAGATGGGGGGCCACCTCCCATTTCATCACCTCTCGAACACCCCGAGAGGTTGGCAGGCGGATTTGAACCCGGACGCGCTGGGACGCGACGGGAGCAGAAGCCAGGCCTTAACCTCTGCCAGCCGCCTGACTTAGTTGTTAAGTCGTTAACTTTACTCGTTCCCATGCTTTCAATGCTTGTTTATTCCTTTTTAGTAATATATTACTTCATAAAAACCTGGTCCGGCCTGGCTCGGGTGGGTCATACGGCGGTGCGGAGGGGCCTTGTGGAGGCAGGTATCGTACCTTGTCACTTGGTAGTTGTTCGGGGTCGGGTGGAATAGGAATAGGAGGCCTCTCGCATCGAATTTATATATCTGCACCACCTGCACCGTGTGATGTGTGGTGCTAGCCAATTAATTAGCCAGTACGACGTTCATCGGTGAGTCAATAGCACGATTACGACGTATAATTGTCACCAGTTATCGGTCTGATTTGCCGCACCCCCTCGGTGCACCCATAACCACCCCCCGGATATTCGTGCCTTAGGCCGCCGGGGTCCTGCCCCCTGCCCCCTGCCCCCTGCTGCCTGCATTACCCCGGCTGATAGGGCTAATAGGGGCCCCAGCGGGAGTAATGAGGGCAGCAATGAGGGCTCGTACCGGGCCTGCGTTAATAATGGAGGCTAGACACGTACGAGACAAATGACTCTAATGATAGCGTTTCCTTTCCGTTAGCGTTGTCTACTGCTCATGCAGCTATCGGGCCTTCTTGCAGCTGGGGATGTTGAGTTGTTGGGGTGATGTGCTGTCCAGGGGCATCACCATGCCCTGCCCGTCGTTTAACACGGCAGCACACCGCGCACAACTTCCCAGCAAATGCAATTTTTCACCTACTGCTATGTTTGCCAATGTGGACATTATGTACTAAATACTACTGCGTATCGCTTTGCGTGTTGATCTCCGCACTCCCTGCTGCGCACATACTTGTCTCGGCCCGCTCCATTCCCCAGCATCCAACAGTTTCGGTCATGGAGTGCCCGGGCGGGGTGGATGGAGGAGTGATGTATGTAGTATTACGTCGTTAGTATTACGTGGCCAGTATGGCGGAGGCCACGACTCTCAAATTGCCCAACTAAACATGAGGGCAGGAGGAGGTTATCACCATCATGCAAACCTGAAGACGGCGCTGTATCTCGCCCGCGAGCAGTCAGTCCGGGGGCGACGAGGCGGGGTACGACGGGTTACACGCGACCTCATTGTGCATCATGCCAAGCAAGTTGCGCAACGCAGCCCCCCCAAGCAACCAACCCTGGAGCTAACTGACAAACCAACATGTGATAACCGTTACGTATTATATTTGTGGCGGTTGTCAGCTGTCCCGTTGAGGATTTCGTACGAACCTGTCAGTTACGGATTGGGGGAAACTTGTTATAATCATAATCGTTTGCTTTACTGACAATGTATTTTGGCTTCTCTGCCAGTTCCTTGTCGGGACGTAACTGGTTGGTCATGTGCGCGTCCTTCAACGGGCGCTGAATTGGCTTCTGGTGAGCTAGCTGTTAGCTAGCATGCACACAGTGCACGCTCGCTCATCTCTTGACAACCTTTTCTGCTTGTTTCTTTGACTATTTCTTCGCATTAGCCTTTGAGAATTTTCACGTAAACAGTGCGTGAGCGCGGCAATACCAACTGACCCACGGGTCACTAAAAAAGAGCGCGAGATTTTCCGCCCATGGCCAAGCGAACAATAGAATAGGGAATCGGTGATCAGCACTATAGCGAAGACCAGCAGCGGTGGTAAATAAAGTTAGGTTAGCTGCCAAACGCATTTTATGTTACCGGAGAGGAAGGTCCGCTAGGTCCGGGGACCCGTCTCCATTTGGCGGATCGTATCTTAATCCTATGTGCATGTGCTGCAATTTGTCACGCGCGGACAAAGTTGCGTGCAAGCGCGCCAACGTAAAGCAAGTGTGGCACGATTTTCACTTAATTACGTGAGACACAGAACAGATTTTACGAACTTGACCCGGGTTAAAGCCTTTCCTAAGAGGCGTGATTTCTTAAACTTCCTTGCCGGCTCGGACCGATTAAAATCAAGCTCCATCTAAAATCCGTCGGCCTCTCTGTACCTGCTGCAAAAGGTATTGACAGCCGCGGGGTTGACTTTGATGCGAAACTCCTCCTGGAGCGCCGGGAACGAGGTCCGCAAGGAGCTGCAATAAACAGCGCATGCCAGCGGCGCGCAAAAACAACAGCAGCGGCGGAACCCCAGCGGCGGAACAGTGCTGCTAATTTCTACCACTGCACATCCTTCCTTTAATAAAGAAGACGCCGTCACAACCTGCCGAACAAACTTGGACGAACCCAGCTGCAAAAACAGCCAGTCAAACAAGCGCCGAATTTTCAGGACTACTAGCTGCCAGGCTGTACAAAGTGAGCACAAGGAAGCAGCGCTCTTGATGGATAGGTAACTATTTGCTGACTTTTAACGCCAGGGAGATAACAGCAGAGAAGGAGAAGGAGAAGCGCAAGCAGCTGCTTCTGTTGCTGCCTTGTGCGGGGTACGTTTGCCGGCGAGCACACTGATTGAATGACATCGCAAGTAATTTCTGGCCCTGCTTGGGTTTGTTTCCCTGTCCTTGTCCATTTGCGGCGGGAACATACCGACCATCGCAAGCTGCATGTTCATCTCCGGCCCCCCCCTCTCTCTCTCTTATCAGCTTGTTCATTTAGGCGTCCGCATGTCCGTCCGTCCGTCTGTTTATCTGTGCCTCCCTTTGCCGACCTCTCCGTACAAAACGACAGGTACGGCCACAGGTACACGTGGCGGTATTCCGCCCGGCGCCCCCTCCCCCCCCCGCGGCTCTCCGGGACATCCCCCCCACCCCCCCATCCCATGACGACACGCCCTAATGCGGCAGCAATCCTGCTACTGCTCATACTGCCATCACACTCCGCCGTGACGGCGGCGGCGGCGGCGGAGGCTGATCCGTGGAGCACCGGTGCCGCAACACGCCGGTTGCCCCGCCGCCAGTTGATGGCGGCGACGGCGGCGGCGGTAGCACAGCAGCCACCGCCTCTGTCACCGTCGCCGCTGCCGCCAGCCGGTCCGGTGGAAGAGGCCGCGAGTCACCCCTCCGCCAGCTCGCCAACATCACCAACATCATTACAACTAACATCATCACCAACATCATCACCAACATCATCGGCGGCGGCAGCGGCAGTGGCGGATGGGGCGTCGGCTGGTTCTGCAACGCCGACGGCGTCGTCGGTGTTGGAGAATCCCGCGGTTCCGGCGGCGGCGGTCTCTCCGCCTCCTGAGACGGAGCAGCAACGACTTCACCGTCAAGTCGCCAACAGCCCCTTCAACTATTCCACACCACCCTCATCACCCGGCGCACCCGCCGCTATTTCTGTTGGGAGCAGCAACAACACCAGCAGCAACAACAGCAACAGCAACAACACCAGCAGCAACAACACCATCAGTAGTAGCATTAAACCAAGCTACGATCACACCGCTGCCGTCGGGATAAAGCCCCTATCGCCGCCATCACCAGCTAGCTCCAGCCCCAGCCCCAGCCCCAGCCCGCCAGGCCCCCCTCCCCCTCCCCCCCACCAGCCCCTAGGACCGGGACCCGCCCCCAGCTCCGGTGACACCGGGGTGACGTACGGCACCTCCTCCCCCACCCCCACCTCAGGGGGTCGCCGCACTGAGTGCTGGGTGGCCCCCCGGGACTACCCGCAACGGGAGTGTGTTTTGTGGAGGGGCGAGTGCCGCCGGGTGGCCCCTGCGTCCGCGGTGGAGTCGTGCATGCTGTGCAGCCGGGGTGAGAGCCTGAAATAGGGGGAGGGGTTCGGGGGTGGTTAGAGGTGGTGAAGAGTTGGTTAAGAGTTGGTTACGAGGTGGTTAAGAGGTGGTTAAGATGTGGTAGGAGTCTTCTGGTTGGGTCATTCTTGGTTCTGTGGATTAGTTTGGCTGACTCCTTGTTTTGAAATTCTGCGGCGTCATGAACGAATACTGTCATATTGCCGTACGCAGGATGGGGTACGTACGACAGTGAGGAGGAGTGTCTGGCTGCTGGCGGCTTTTCCCCCGCAGCCGCCGGCATCGACCCCGCTACCTATCCCGCTCCCTCCGCACCCCCCAGCAAGTGCAACTACAACCCTGCGGCCCGGGTCCGGTACGGCGGCGGCCTCTCGTGTGTTTGGGGTGCTATGGCTGTGTGGCGTGTGTGTGTGTGTGGCTGGGGGAAATAAGCGGTGGGTGGTTTTGTGGTGACTCTAGTGGTGGTGGTGGTGCTGTGATGATGGCAATGATGGCGGTTGCAGCAATGATGCACGTGATGTATGCACGAGATCCCCCCGTCTCCCGGTACCCCGGCTCCCATGCCACCTCCTCCTCCCGCAGCCCTTCACCACACCCCGCCAACACCAATATTCCTGATGCAGTGTTTAACTCTTCTCCTGGAGTATCCTATTTCTGGTATATCTGCTTCACTCGCCAGTGGTGCGTCTTACCCTCCTCTTCCCCCCCCCCTTCCGCAGCTCCTCCCCCAGCGGGCCCTGCCCCCACCTGCTACCCGACCTGGTGCTGTGGGAGGCAGCCGCCACGTGGCCCGCGTCAGGGGGCTACTCGGGAGCCCCACCGACCCGCGGGTCGGCAGTGGTGCTGCCCCCCAACAAGAGGGTGCTGGTCACCGGCTGCTCCTTCACCTCCGCCCCCTCCACAGCGGCCAGCAGCGGTAGCGACGGTAACGTGTTCGCGTCCATTCGAATTCCAGCTAGCTCCGAGGCAGGTCGAGTGAAGGAGGGGCGGGGGGCCGGGGGGAGAGAGAGGCACAGGGTGTGTGTGTGGGGAGAGATGTTCGTACGTGCTGCTTCCAGCATGATTCCTTGTACGGTTACTTCCTGGTCGTTTGCCGCCACTGCCGTCAACTGTTTTGTCAGTTTGATTCACGTGTGTGTTCTGTTGTGGGTATTTTTTTTTGTGTGTGTGCCTCCCGTACCCCGTAACCCCCCGTAACCCCCCGCCCCCAACTCCGCACACAGCTCATCTTCGACGACGCGACCATCCACCTAGTGGTGGGCGCCATCTATGTGTACGGCAGGCTGAGGGTGGGCGGCGAGGGGTGTCGAGTGGGGGGTCCCATCACCTTCACCTTCCAGCCGGCGGAAGGTGGGAGGCGGGGGGTGGGGTGAGGTGGGGTGGGTGTGTTAGTGTGTGTGGAGGTGCGTATATGTGCGTGAAATGCATCTTTAGTCGTAAAAGAAGGAAAATGAATGTTTAGGTGGGGGCACATGACCGTGTAGGTGTTTCACCCCCTCCCCTCCCCCCTCCCCCTCCCACCCGGTCAGGTGTTCCGGAGGGCGATATGGGTATTCAGGTGCTCCCGGGGGGCCAACTAGATCTGCACGGCACGTCGTACAAACCCACGTGGACCCGACTGTCGGCCACCGTACAGCGGGGGAGCAACTTCATGACATTGCAGGTGGACCGATGTGGGGGTGGGGGGGTGGGGGGTGGGGGGTGGGGGGATGCCCAACAGACCCGACACGAATGTCTTGGGGGGTACGTCTGTCTGTTTGTCTGGTAAAATTAGGGTGTAGAGTTATGTGAAGAGGGGAACAAGAGGAATGCATGCCAAAATGGGTTAGTCAGTTTAGCTCCTAAAACGAAACACACACGCACCCTAAGTTACCCGTGTGTACTCCTGCCTGCGCGGCCCAGGTCACAAGAAATACACAGGTATACATACATTCATACACACGTGTATGTATGTATGTATGTGTGCACCCGCCCATCCCCCCACCCCCCCCCCACCACGCAGGACTCGGTATCCTCCTGGCTCCCAGGACAGCTGCTGTTTGTCACCACCAGCATCTACCGAGACGAGTACGAGAACCAGAACGAGGTGGCGGCCGTACAGTCGGTTAGCGCGGACGGTCGTACGGTGGTGGTTGACCGGCAGTTCCAGTACTCCCACTACGGGTAGGGCCCCGGCGGGGTGGGGGATATACTATGTGGGAGAGGGCCACCGACCACCACCAGTGATGCGTACAGCCGTTGCCAACTTTATATACACAACCCGGTATAACCCCACCACCATCCCACCATCCCTCCCTCTTCGCCAATCAGAGAGTTCCATTTTGAAAACATCCTCCCTCCCCTCCCTAACCTTCCCCTCGTTGACCTTCCCTTCGTTTCCTGTCTTCATATTCTCATTTTCAATCTATTCAGAAACACTCTGAACAGCAAAAGCAGCTTGCCAAAGTCCTAAACCCAGCCGCAACATCCTCCCTCCCCCCCCCTTCCTCCCCCCAAACCCCCAACTGTCCAACCCCCGCAGCGGTTCCGAGTATCAGAGTGAGGTGGGCCTCATCAGTCGCTCGCTGCTGCTTCAGAGCTGGCCGGGCTCCGGAACCACATCCCGGGGGGCGCATGTCAAGATCATGGGGCAGGTGGGGGAGGGGGGAGGAAAGGGGGGTATAGCTGCGGTGCGTGTATAAGGGGGGGGGTAAGGCCTGTCCGGGGTCTGAGGGTTAGGGGGGTTGGACAGGGCTCGGCGGGGGTATAGATGTGGGATCATGCGGGCTTGTTGCGAGTAGTGAAGTGAATGGCATGATCGGTCGCTGCGGTGTGGAGGGTGTGAAGGGTGAAGTACTCCAGGGATGGGTTGGGTTGGGTTGGGGTGGGGTGGGGGAGTTGCTCTGGTAGGGTCCTCAGTTTGCCTAACTGCCTAACTGCTTAACTGCCTAACTGCCTGACACCCCCCTGAACCCACTCCACCTGCGGGCGGTTATGTTTGGTTGCAGGGTCGGTTGGAAGGTGTGTTGTCGTACCTTATGGGCCAACTGAATGTACTCGGAGCATACCCCTTCCACTGGTACGTTACTAATCCTCCTCCGTGTCTGCTACTGCCGCTATTGCTGTTGCTGCTACTGCTACTGCTGCAACACACTATACAATCCTATCTTGTTCTCCAATGACCACCCTCGTCCTCGACCTCGTCCTCGTCCTCGTCCCGTGTAAGCTTCGGCCCTACTGCTGCTAACAAGTGGCAAGCCCAACTTCCTCTTCCCCCGGGGATTCCCTCCCCTCCGCCCCTCCCCCGCCTCCCACCAACCCGCAAAGGCATAACGTGGGCGACGCTGGTGGCGGCTTGTCGTACGCTAAGGACTGCGCTGTGTTTGCGTCGTACTACCGATGTAGGTTTCGGAAAAGGTCGATCTCTCGATCTCTCCATCTCTCCATTCGTCCGTTCGTCTGCTCGCCTGCTCGTTCCTTCATTCGGGAGATATACATACGCCGCAGGAAAAGACCTTTCCCCCCCACACACATATACACACTGCCACCCTCGGCTATGTGCTTGGCGCGAGGAAAAGGGGACGGCGGGAAGTTGCTGTCGATGCCAGTCAAGCAGGAGGTTCGATGATGGTGTACTCGTCCCCAAAACCCTTCCTGGACCCCCTGAACTCCCGGACCCGATATCCTGCTTCGTAGGCTTCGTGATCCACGGCGCAAATAACCTGGCCTTGTACGACAACACCGCCTTCCACGCCATCGGCAGCTGCTTCTACCTGGAGGTACGGGGAAGGGAGGAAGGGTGTGTGTATGGGTGTGTGTGTATGGGTGTGTGTGTATGGGTGTGTGTATGGGTGTGTGTATGGGTGTGTGTGTATGGGTGTGTGTGTATGAGGGTGTGTATGGGTGTGTGTGTATGGGTGTGTGTATGGGTGTGTGTGTATGGGGGTGTGTATGGGTGTGCGTATGGGTGTGTGTATGGGTATGTGTATGGGTGTATGGGGACTTCCGTTATGTGAAGGGGGATGCCTCGCTATCACGTCGCAATGTCAGTATCAAACGCTCAAACCCTGTGCCGTGTGCTCCTCTCCCCCCCATTTCCCCCTCCGGCATCTGCTTATGGGGAACGATGGCAGTTGCTTCCTTCATTTGGGAGTATGTCCCCCCCCTACCTTCCCCCTCTCTTCCCCCCCTCCCCCCATAACTTACCCCTCTCTTTCCCCCCCACCCCCATAACTTTCCCCTCTCTTTCCCCCCACCCCCCATAACTTCCCCCTCTCTTCCCCCCCTCCCCCCATAACTTCCCCCTCTCTTCTCCCCCGCCCAGGACGGTGTTGAGGAGGGCAACTGGCTACAGCACAACCTGGGGGCTTACGTGCACGTGATCGGGAAACCGGCCGGGGGTGTCACACAGAGCGGGGAGGTGTTCGTACAGGTGAACGGGTCCGTGTATGTGTGTATGTGTGTATGTGTGTATGTGTGCATGTGTGCATGTGTGCATGTGTGTATGTGTGCATGTGTGCATGTGTGCATGTGTGCATGTGTGCATGTGTGCATGTGTGCATGTGTGCATGTGTGCATGTGTGCATGTGTGCATGTGTGCATGTGTGCATGTGTGCATGTGTGCATGTGTGCATGTGTGCATGTGTGCATGTGTGCATGTGTGCATGTGTGCATGTGTGCATGTGTGCATGTGTGCATGTGTGCATGTGTGCATATGTGCATGTGTGCATGTGTGCATGTGTGCATGTGTGCATGTGTGCATGTGTAAGAAGGGATCAGCTCCCTTGGCATCTCCCTGAGTACTCTTTGCCTGGCTCTTACATTGGTGCAAATTGCTAGGAGTTGGGAAATCCCCGGATCAAATCCGGTTGCGAATTTCATCTCCCCAGTTGGCGACTACGGCTGTCCCCGTTCCACGGGGGGGGGGGCTCTGGGACCCCCACCCACCCGGCCCGGCAATACACCCCCCACCGACCTTTCCCCTGCCCGCCCCGCCTATGCCGTTTTGGCAACATGCACTCCGTACACATGCACATACACACACAGGGTCCTGGTCTCGCCCACCCCACCGATGCGGCTGCCGGTGTGTTTTATTCATCCAACCCCAACAACATATTTAAGGTGAGGATGTGCGAGGGGAGGTAGGAGGGGAAGTAGGAGGGGGGACGGGGGGAAAGACGGAAGGAAGTCCCGAGTGAGATGCGGTGCGTGCACACACATACCTACCTACGTACATACATACATACATACACTCAGGGCCGAAGGGTCGTATCTTCCTTGTCTCCTCCCCCCCCATGTGCACCTTGGGATGTCCACTCCCGCCCACAGAGGGCGGTGCGTTGGGTTCTGTGTTTGAAGGTCCCTCGAGACCTCGAATGAACTCTCTCATTCTCCTCCCCATACACATGCAGGACAATGCCGCCAGCGGGGGATTCGCGGGGTACAATTTCCCCGTACTGCCCGAGCCCATTGGGGTGAGTGAGAGGGCGTGTGTGTGTGGGGTGTGTGTGGGGGGGTGGGTGGGAGATGGCACAGGAAAAAGGGGGGAAGGGTGAGGGGAGTAAGGGGGGTTGCGGGGCTGAAACACCTCAGCGGCTGTAGCCTAGCGGAAGTAGTGGGGTGGTGCATATGTACGTATGTATGTAGGTGCGAGCCGAGCAGCAGCTTCATCTGGCACCCCCCCTGGCACATATTGGGCAAGTAACCCGACATACATACATGCACTTCCCGCTCTGCCCCTCCCCCCCGTGGGGCTCTCCCCGCCTCCTCAGGACCACCGGTGGATGCGGACGACCCTCAACCCAAGTCAGCGACCCATGGGTCTGTTTGACGGAAACACGGCCCACTCATCCGGATACTTTTGGTGAGTGGTGGCGCCCTCCCCATCATGTTGATGATGATGATGAGGAGGAGGAGGAGAGGGGACTCCACACTCGTTGGATAACAGGCAGTGGTCAAGGGGGTGAGGGAGTAGTGTCGAGTTCGTCATCGGCGTTCCTGGATGGTGGGTGCAACGGATGCAAATGGCCATCACCAAGTGGTCCGTGGGGGGCCCTCCTCACCCCCACCACGCTCTTTCCCAGTCCATATCCCCCTCCCCCCTCCCCCCTCCCCCCTCCCCCTCCCCCT